AAACATATGGATGAATGCTGACTGGCAATTCCCAGACTAGGGGTATACTCCACACAAGTGGGTACAAATATTCACCAAGAAATGTGTACTAGCATGAACCACAGCTACATATCCTTACCCAAAACCGAGAATTATTCAAATATCCACCGATAGAGTGGGTAGACTTTGACGTGTTCTTAGTGCATAATGCTGCATGGCAACAAAGCCATCCAGGACCACATGGAGCTGTAGGGGTGAATCTCAGAGTGCATCAGAGTGCACTGCTGAATGTGAGGAGACACATGATTCCCTTCACATGATGTCCAGAGCAGCCTCTGCACCTGCAGTCAGGCAAGTGCTTGGCAGGAGCAGGGTGTGGACTGGGAGGAGCGTCAGGGATGAGGGAATGTTCTCTCTGATGATGAGTGTGTCCAGTTTGTGGGAACGGATGGAGCTCTACATTTATGAAAGGCATACTTGGGGGGGATATATTAAACTTTATTTAAAAAATTAAAAATCAGTTCCATTTGGGCCTTGATGTGGATAAATTAAATCAGAATCCCTGGGTTAGGGACAGGTAGAGGTGAGTCTGATTTGATTGTAACGCACAGGCAAGGCTGGGAACTGCAGAGTTAGTGAACGTGCTCATGTTGTGCTGAGCAGCTGAGGGCTAAAGAGAGGGGTGACAACCTCAGGGGCAGTGTCCAGGGAGCTCTGTGGCCCAGTTTCCAGTCCCATCACAGCTCCTTCCTCTGGGCTACGCTGTCTGCCTTCCACACTGAGTCGGATGTCCAAATGCTGTCTCTGCCTATGTCCAAGAAGTTCCTCTTATCTGATCCTGTTGGCCATGCTTCCTGCTGGCCCAGTTTTCCATGTGTGAGTTACTCTGCCCCTGATTCACTGGGTGGCCTCAGAGAAGGCACAGTGCCTCACTGGGCCTCAACTGGGAAAACGAGACCCTTCTGTTGGAGGGATCACAACACTGTCTAAGACAGAGTCTCAGACTGAGTCTGATAAACCCAAGAACTGGGGAATGGTTTTGGACTACATTCTTCCATAAAGAGTTAGGTAATAATAAGCAAATGTGTTAGATGGAAGCCAGGAAGGAAGTGGGAAGGCCCTCGGGGGTACCACACAGCGTCCTTTGTAGGAGAGCAGTTTGAAAGAGCTCACACACATTGAGGCAACCCAGGGAAGGTTGGTCATGATTCTGATTGACTATTATGCACACACACACAGTCCCAGTTCTCAGCAGCACAAAACAACTCGTTATTCTGTGAGTCAGGAATTTGTGAGTCAGGTCCTACTGATTTCTCTCTGGTCCACGTGGTGTTGGCTGGGGCAGCTGCTATTGGGGGTCAATCTCCAAGGTAGGTCACTCACGTGGCTGCCTGATCCCTTTTCTCACTTGTCACATCAGCAGGGGCCTCTTGGTGTGGCTCGCTGGGCTTCCTTACAGCAGAGCAGCTACAAAGTGTGTTAGGTCCTAATCTTAGATGTCTCAGAACATCACTCATGGCATTCTCTTGTCATCACATCACCCTGAAGTCAAGGGAGAAAGGAGTAGACTCCCCTTTTGGGTTGGTTAAGATGTGTGCTTGTGTGAGTGAAGAAAGATGGCTGCCATCTTGGAAAGAAGCGACCAACATAAATTGAGGAATATGGATTTCTCCCTGGCCTATAACTCCTTCTGATCTTAGGGAGCTTGTTGCTACTGGTAAAGGTCCTCGCATCTTGAGACAGAACATGTTTGGCCTTTCTGTTGATATCACAGAGAAAATTATTATTATTATTATTATTATTATTATTATTATTATTATTATTTTGAGAAAATTATTGAAATAGACCCTAGGCAGTCACACTTGTGCATGGGGGTCCATCTTGGTGGGAACTTGGCCCTGCTACCCAACTGATGACAAAAATCCATTCAATTATTTAAATTACCTTTGTTCTACACTGTGATTGTTGGAAATTTGAAAACACAGAGAAATTATTGTGAACATGTTACAGTGGTACCTTGTTTCATGAGTTTAATTTGTCCAACAATTTCGGAAAAGACCGTCATGTTTTTGTCTGGCAAAGATGACTGTGGTCATGTTTGTCACCTGACGCAGAGTTTGCAAACAAAAACAACATTTTGCCAAACACTTACGTTTGGAAAACAAATTGTTTGCAGATGAAAGTGTTTGTGAACCAAGGTACCACTGTACATTTCCTGCTATACATTTTCTATGCACAACTATACAGAAAGAGGATTTGTATTTTTTTCCACTTAACAGATTGTTACTGTTTCCCTGTATATTTCATTTTAATTTGATAATTACTTGTTTGTTTCCTCTCAGATTTTGTTCCAATCTAGTTATTTTAGTAAATGCATATGTAGTTTGGGGCACAGGTCTAATTCATGAAGGATGGAGAGGCTTGGTCTGTGCTTGGACAAGACCATGAGTCAGGTTCCTTCCCACTCCACTGGGCTGTGGGGCCTGGGTGTTGGGTGATGTGGGTGAAGGCAGGGGGGTCTCTGTTCTCCTAACACATCTCAGTGGCCTGTGGTTTCGCCTTCTCCGTGGAAAGCCTCAGGAGGGGCTGTGGCCCAGAGAAGAGGTGGCACTGAGGTCTGGAATCTGAAGTCAGGCCTTGGTTCTGCCCTGGTGGCCCACTGGACGTCCTCATCTGGTCATTGGGCACAGCACACTAAGCCTGTCCATTGGCAATGGATCTCCTCAGTCTCAGAGGAGGATGGAAAGGCAGAAGCCTGGTCCCTTTGCGTTCCATCTCTCAAAGACCCTTCACGCTTCCCATGATGGTGCTAGAAGAAACCCCAGCCAAAGTGATTGCTGCTGAACCATGACAGGGTGGGTGCCAGCCTGATGCAACCTGCACAGCGTAGGGTCCGAAGGCTGGGAGAGCGGTGGGAGATGATGAAAAGACAAAGAAGACCAAGATTACTCTTGGCCAGGACCAGCCGGAACCAGAGCTTGTCGGAAGCTAATGGCCACCTGGAGCGCCACGTGATCTTTATTTATAGTGGAAGGCAAACAGGAAGAGAAGGTGGGGCAAATAGTGCTACGTGGCCTATGTGGCAGAACGTAGGTGATTGCTTTGTGATCAGGACATGCTCAGGAAGGGAGGAGGGAAGGATACAATGTAACAGGGTCTACAATGTGAGTCAAACAGACACAGTCTCTACTCTATGGAGGAGAAAGGGATCGGGGAAGAGACGAAGGACTATCTTCAGGCTCAGCCTGTGGCACTAGCCCAAGGCTAGGCTGGTTCCCCGGTGTGGGCAGGGACACCGTCACCCAGAGGGAGAAGTGTCTGCCAGTCTGCAGGGCGATGTGTGTAGAGCACTCTTCTAACAAGTTCTTCTCCCAAAGGACCCGTGATACAGCTCCTGAGTATTTCGGGAATATTTCCATCCTGCTTGTGGGACTCCTCATTCGGCCCCAATACTTAGAGTTCTCATGGGGGACAGAGCTGTGGCTTAAGCGCTGACCTTCGTGTCAGACACAACTGGCATAGATTTCTAAGCCATGGCTATAAATCATGGGATGGTGGACACACTACCCAGCCTCTTTGAGCCTTGGTTTCCTCATCTGTGAAACGGGTGGTGACAGCACCTGCCCGGAAGGAAGGTTGTCCCCTGTAGAGCACAGTGACATTCTGATATACCAGCTCAAGTGTGCCTGGCCAGCTCCTCCCTGAGCTCTTCCTGCTCCCCCGGGACATTGCTCACATTTTGGCTGTTTGATTTTGAAAAGCTGAGTCCGGGCATAAGACAAGAGGATTTGGAGACTGCATTTCTCTAGCTCTCTAGACATCAAGAGGTTGGTCCTGACTGAGAGGACAGGGCAAGGTCAGACTAAGAGGGGCCTGGTACCCATGCACGGCCAACCTACAAGGAGTTCCGGAAAGGGGCAAGCAGAGGAGCTCCCTCTTGCCTCCATCCAGGAGTCAGGGAGGTCGCCCCAAGGGAGGTGACTCCCTGAGTCCACAGGACTATTTCCTGCTTCCTCCCCACCCTTTTCCTGCTCCCTCACCATGGCACCAGGCCTGCCAGGGGCAGAGCTTGAGATACCCTTGAGGCCAGCCAGCCAAGGTGGGCTGCAGTGACTGTCCCAGTTGGAGTGATGCACAATTCTGCAGGTGCCAGAGTAGCTGGGAGACAGCTCAGGGACCCATGGTGTCCCCTGCCTGCCCCATGCTCAGCACCAGTCAGACCTCTGGACTCCTCGCTGTGGTGTTTTTGTTTTCCAGAGAGAATGCTAGAAATGGCATCCAGGAGTCCTAAAGCTCTCCTGAGTTAGTGAGAACTCCTGCTGCGCCTGCAATAAATTCAACATCCCCAAGGGGAATGGGCCTTTGAAATGGAAATGATTTTCCTTTTAGAGGCATAAATCAAGGAACAATTCCTGGCCCGGGCTTTGGGCCTGAGCTCTGACACAAGTGTGGGCACGTGAGCACCTGGCAGTGCCCTGTGTGCTGTCTGCCAGACCACTTATCCTGGAGCAGGGATGGCCTCCTTGGGGCTGGAGGAAGGGTCCGGGGCTTGTCCTCGTGCTTGCATGTGTGTTGGTTGTTTGCTGCCCTTTCCTCTGTACCGCTCCAGCCCCACCCCAAGGCATCCAGCACCAGGACACCTGGTGTCTTAAATGTCAGGCTTTCCCACCTGTCCTGTGCTCTGCACTGAACTTCAATTTCCCTGAAGGCCTTTGATTCAGATCCTTTATCTCCTCTCTTCCTCTTTCATTCAGTCCATCTTCCTTCCTCCCTTCTCTCCTTTTTGTCTGTCTTTTCTTCTCCCTTCTCCCCTTTCTGCCTGCCTTGCTTCACTCTCTTTCCTAAGTCGGTGCCTCTCTCTTCTCCTTCCTTGTTTCCCTGTGTCTCACCCTCTGCATCTCTATTCTCTCTCCCTCTCTTGCTCCCTCCTGGGTAGTCCCAGAAACATACCCATATATGGCCTCCATGTCAGGGATCACAAATGACGACATCACGTGAGGGCCAGAGCCCTGAGATGCTCCCCGAAGTGGGAGTTTGTCTCTGATGCACCCAGAGGAATGAAAGGCAGGACTGTGGCTTCCTTGGTGCAATCTTCAAACAGGAAATCTGATTCACAACATCTTATAGCTTGGCTTGTCACCAGTGGTCATGCGGTGGGCCCAAAATAAACTCCCCGCTTCAAGGGACAGCGTTTCAGAACTGCCTGGCACAGTAGCCAGCAGCTCGGGGCCAGGGCAGAAAGAAAACTCAGGCAGCATGTTCTGAATTCAGACACTCAAGAAGATCTTTTCTGTTGCCCTGAACTGTGCCCTTGCTTCTGAGCCTAACAGGTAATGCATGCTTTCCACTTTCTTAGAGGGACCTTGAAAAAGATTGCTGGGCTGGCTGGGATGTGTGGCTGCAGGGTTCACCCCAAACGCTTCCAGTCGAACTGCGTTTGGGTCTCGGTCTCCTTCTCTCAAGTTCAGCAGCACATGGGCAGCTTTCACTTGGGGTTGGGAGACAGAGAATCAGGATTTGCACGTACTTACCCATTCCTCTGGGGGGCTCTTGCGTAGACTATTACTGCTGTGTGCTTCTTAAACCAGAAATGCACACGGAGCTGTCCATGATGCTGTTGTTGGGTGGACAGGTCTTGGGCAATGTCAGTGTCAGACAGATGATTTTCAGGAAAGCTTTTGGATCAGGCAAACAGAAAGATATTGTCATGCATGGGAGCCAACCCAATGTGACCTTTCAGAGGGCCTGTGCATGCACAGTGTTGTGGAGTTGACAGCAATCAAGGTGCCATGGGCTGTACCTGCAACTTTAGAGAGGAACTGAATGAGAAATGTTATCTACATGAGACTGAACAGAGCTGAGGAACACAGAGAATGCCTCATGTGTGTGTGCATGTGTGTGCACAAGGACACTTTCAGGGAGGCAACGGCCTTAGAAAGGACAAGTGGAATGGCGTCAGCGTGGGAGGAGGGGCCTCCAGGCAGAGGAGCAGCTGGGACAAAGGCAGGGACATTGGGGACCAGGGCGATGGTGGGATGGAGGAAGGCTGCATAGGGCGCTGCCTGGAGGCGAGCTGAAGGCAGATGCTCTGCCGAAGATGGAGCACATTCTAAGGCTTCTGAGCAGAGCAGGTGCAGGTGGAATTTGACTTCAGGCGGCTCCTCAGGAAGCCTCCTGGACAAGAATGGGTAGACAAGAATTAGGAGGTGGAGAGGTCAGCAAGAGAGGGCAGGTGGACAACAAAGACCTGCAGCAGGGCAGAATCTCAGCCCCTGCACAGGGCCCAGGACCCTCTGCCCCTAGGTCAATTCCCTCTCATGAGGCGGTTGCTGATGGGAGCTCTGAGAAGCTCAGGAAGAGCCAGAAGAGATCTGCACCCCAGCCCCAGCCTGACCTCTGCTGCCAGAGGCCCCAGGCAGGAGCACAGAGAGAAGCAGCCAGCGCGGATGCTCCAGTCACTTCCAAAACAGCAGGATTGGTCCCCTGCGCGGCCAGGCCTGTTTGCCACTCAGCCTCTTCTGGTGCCAATCCCGCTTGCATCATCTTTTCTTGTGCAAGCAGGCAAGGCCATGAGGGGCTCGTATGGGCCAGGGGAGGCACCTTCGGGCTGGGAGGGGGACTATAATCCACCTTAGGATGAAGAATTGCAGTTACTACCAGTGAGCGTTCACTAAACACTTATTATGAGCCACTAATTATGGGCTGTTTCTCTCACTGACTCTTCTCACAGTTGCCAAGACTTAGAGGTGACTGTTCCTTCCACTTTTCAGATCTGGAAACTGAGCCTCTGCATGGTTAGGCTAGGCTAAGCAGCTGTGAGGTGCTGGAGTCAGGAATCAAACCCTGGTCTCTGGGCCTCTGGGGCCAATGTTCATAGCCACTGCCTCTGTGCCTTGCTGGAGGCCAGGACACTGGCAGTCAGCAACTTCATGCACCCAGCAGAAATATCCCTGGCACCATCCATGCATCATAAGATGCCAGTAAATTTTGTGTAGGCTCCATCCAAGAGAGCTTTCCCGAAGGAGGCACAAAAATATCTCTGGGCCACAAAGCCTTGGCCTGCCTGGAGGAGGCGGCCGTCATTCGAGCAGTTTGTCCTCAGCACCATCTTTGTTGTAATCAGTGCGTAGGAATAGAAATGAGTCTGTGACAAGCTTTGGGGTTGAGAGAGATATTTTTGGCGGGGAGGGTGTGCAATGATGAAGTAAGAGTCAATAGATTACTAACTTGCTGGTTTTGCCTTTTTAAAGAAACAGACTTAGAAGAGGAAAGTGTAAAAAGAGACAGGGAAAGCAAAGAGAGGAGCAGGAAAAGATTGAAAGAAAGAGGAGAAAGGAAAGCAAGAGGCCCTGGCTGCTCTACTCTGGCTTAAGGTTCCCAGCCAAACGTGGAAGAGCACACCCTCCCTAGCACCCGCTCCCGCTGCCTGGAGTCAGGGCTTCCAGACCCCGGCCTCTCCTGTCACCCAGGGCCCAGATGAGTGTCCATGGGACAAACATGGCGGGCAGTGGGCAGGGGGTGGGGGCAGACAGCTGCTGGAGGCTCAGGGATGGACCGGGCAGCCCCGCCCACCCATCCTCACCACCCCCGCCGCTGGCACAGATGGAGGAACTAGCATTCCTAGGCCCCCAGCAGAAACTGGGTCAGGGCCTGGAGTCCTGTGTCCAGCACTGTGTGAAGCTGAGGCTCGCTGTTGACTCTGTCTGAGGCGGAGGACGGGGACCTGGGACAAGGCCTTCCTTCTCTCTCTCCCTTTGAGTTGGTGTCTTCAGTGTACACCAATGAATAAATAAACTACCAAGAAGTGTTGTTAGGGTCTCAGACCCCTCAGGACATACTCACCCAGATTCGGGTCAGCAGGGAGGAGCCAGGGTGTTCCATTCCAGACCGAGCCTCAGTCTCCCCTTCCGTGCAATGGCCACAGTGTCCAGGATGCTGTAGAGCAGCAGCAGCACTCTCCAGAGGATGTGTTTTGAAAGAGGAAGAGGGCACTGCAGAGAAGGAGGCTGTGCACTGAGACCAGGCAAGATCCCCCTCCCTCCCATGTTCCAAGCTAGCTCAGCAGCCAGTGTTCAGCCTCAGGTTAAGGATCATGTGGATCTGGGAGACCCTGAGACCTTTGGAACTGATTGGCAGAGGCATGCATGTGTATTATATGGACTGCGGTCCTACGGTATCTATGGGATGCTGGCTCCAGGACCCCTGTGGACACCAAAATTTGCCCACATTCAAGTCCCTCCTGTAAAAACCAGCAGAATGTCAGGGTATAACCCATGCACCTTCTCCTGGACACTTTAAACCATCCCTAGGTTACTTATATAATGCTTAACACCACGTAGTGCCATATGAATAATTGTCATCCTTACTATTTCGAGAATAATGGCAGAAAAAAGTACGTATGTGCTCAGGGTTCCTTGAGTGATTTTTTTCTGAATACTTCTATTCTGTGGTTAAATCTGTAGATATATAGGTCTGACCATGTATATATATTAGATAAGGAATATATTCTATATGATATTATATTGTATAGAATGTGATTCAAAACACAAACCTATGTGAGCCTGTAAATTAATTACTGTTACAGATATAGTAGCATATATATGAAGTCTTTGAAAAATATATGCACTCTTCATTTTGCATCTCATCTTTACTCAAATCTTGTGAAACTACAGGAAGTTCCTTTCTTACCTGAAGTGAGGACTTGGTGCGGAGTTAGATGCAGCCTCTAGTCTCTCCCTTTTCATTTTCTCCCTTGGTTTCTTGCCTCAGTTTCCCCATCCATAGAATGGAACAACAACAGCACCTTTATCATAGGTTTACCACGTGGTTCGGGTGGTAGTGCTCCGAGGGTGACCAATGAGTGACAGACGGCTGTGACTGCAGGCTCTGCCCAAGACACACAACCACCCACCCTCCACTCTCCCCTGCAGATGGACAAGTGAGCCCAACTGAAATGCCTTGCAGCACAGACCGGCTGTGTGTGCTCATGAAACAGCCCCTCTTGTCACTTGTAGGCTGTCACCTTGCAGAGAAATCCACACCCAGGTCTGAGGAGAGTCAGCTCAAGCAACCCTGTGACAGCCATTGTCCCCATTCTACAGATGCCACCTGGGAGAGGTGGGGGTGGCCTAGTCATGTTGGGGTGAGGGAGAGATGTTGGAGGCCCAGGAAAGCCCTGCCTCCCACCCCCTGCTGGCTATGGACTGATGGCCCCAGAATGCCTCCTCCACTGGCCCCTGGCCTGGCTGGGCGAGGCCGCTGGACTCCCGCTGGCCCTGGGAAAGGGCTATTTTTTGTCCCAATCAGCCTCCTGCTGGGTCCCCCGGGGCTGCTGGCCGGCCTCCAGGACTCAGGCTGGGAAGGCAGCCCAATCCCCAGACAGAGGTCCCAGAAATCGAGCTGGGGAGCCTAAAGATGAGGGGAGACCGAGCCAAAAGAGGGGTGAACATTATCCCCACCTCCTCCTCCCAAGATGGGTACGTGTGATGTCCTTTCCACCAGTGAGAAACTGAGGCTCCGAGAGGCCACAGCTAATAATTAGCAAAGCTGGAACTTGAACCCAGCCAAGCTGACTCCCTGGGGTGCTTTACTCCCTCCCCTGTGCCAAGGCTGAGTGACTCCACCTGTCTCCAGGAAGATGTCCTCATGGTGTCCCTGGCAGGTGACATCAGTCTAGGAATGAGGTATGTCCCTTCCTGAAGGAGTCCAGGTATCACACCTGCCAGTGGCCAGGCCACAGCTAAGCCCAGTGCACTGAGCCCTTCGGATGCCACTTTCCACCCCTTGATCACAGTTACTAATGTCTCTCATTTGGACCTCAGGACCCTGAAGGTAGGTGAGGGTCTCAGCAGGAAGGGCAAGGGGTCTTCAGGCCCACAGTGGGGCAGGGAAATCGCCCTTGTTTTGTTCAAGGTCCTGGGAAAGCCAGGCCTATCTCCTCCTTGCCTGTCTGTACCTTCTACTTGGAGGCCAAGAACCCAGTGTGCAACACCGGCCAAGGGGCTGTTGTGAGGACAATGCAGTGGCAATGTGGAATCAGTGACAATGTCCCACCCAGGGAGCAGCTCCCGTAAGGGCCTGGAGTCTGGAGTTTGCTGCAGCATTGCTGATTCTGGCAAGGTACCTGGGCCAGGAGGGCCCCTGCTGGGATAGGAGGGACAAAGGACAGGCTTTACCCTGCCCCACCGCATAACAGGTGGGAAACCCTAGGACCCAAAGAAGAGGGAAGACGCACATGGAGGATGTTGTGTCCAGTCCAGGTCCTCTGCAAAACAAGCAAAGCTGCTGCTGCTGCTGCTCTACGAAAAATAATGCCCAAGCATCAGTGCACAGCAGCTTGAAGGTCACGATGCCCTGGCCCCTCCTCTCCCTCCCTCCCACCTCCGCAGAGGAGACCCCTGCCATAGTGCTGATCTACAGCATCAGCTCTTAGCCCAGCCTGTACCCTCAAGTCCTCAGAGCACCCACAAACACTTCAGGGCTTGGGCCCCAGACCCAGAGATTTGAACTCATTGGTCTGGGGTGGGATCAAGGCCTTGGAATATTCCCAGCACTCTTAGCCATCCCTGAAAACCATCTGTGAAGATGATTTTGATAGTACACAGCAGAAAACCCAATTAGCATTGGCTTAAACCTCAAGGATCGTAAGTTTTTAACTAACAAGAAGTCTAGGGTAGGTGGACCGCGTTGGTTGAGCTGCTTAATGATATGATGAAGGACGCAGTGTATCATTCACTTGTTTAAATTCATTGTATCAGTCCATCATTTGTTCTGTCAAACTCATGTTCACAAGATAGTTGCCACTGCTCCACACATCAAGCTTCTCCAAGCACAAAAGAGAGTCTGGGACTAGGAGTCATTTTATTCATTGTTCTCTCTTTTATTAAGGAAGAAAGTCCTTCCTGGGAATACTCAGCAGAAGTCTGTTTTATCTCTTCGAACAAAACTGGCTACTCCACCCCTAGACTAGTCCCTGGCCAAGAGAATGGGATTGGGGCAATCATGATCATGCGTGGGACAGAGCACACTGTTTCTTGTACAAAGCTAGGTTCTGCTGCCAGGAAGATGGGGGAAAGGCTCTTGAGTGGGCCATCGGTATGACCTGCCACACCCAGGTGACATCTGTACAGTGTAAATGCTTGTTTTCGTCTGGCTCAGTGTTGTTTGTGAGGGTCATCCTCGTCATTTCCGGTAGAGGGAGTTGTTTATTTCCAGGAGTCCCTACTCTCCTGCACATGAAGACATCACAGAGTATTAACCCATTCGAATGCTGATGGTCATTCAGGCATTTCCCAATAGTGCTGCTAGGAATATTCTTGACCTTGTTTTTGGGTGAATAAATGCCCGTAATTCTTTGCGGAATACAGCTAGAAGGGAATTTTTAGGTCATAGGATATGCGTATGCTCAGCTTTACTCACATTTTCCCGAGTAGCTTTGCCATTTTATGCCCCTTCACGTGCTGGGAAGAAGTCTAGTCCTCCCCCACGCTCCCTAACATTTGCATTTTCTGTCTTTATCATTCGAGCGACTCCACTGGGTGTAGAGTGGTCTTGCATTGGGATTTTAATTTTATTTTCCCCAGACACTGATGAAACTCGGCACCTTGGCTTTGGTTACTGGCTGGATGTTCTCTCTGTGATGTGCTGACCTAGTCTTTGGGGGGTATCAGTTAACTGGAGCCCCAGGAGCCCCCAAATAAGACTAACACGCTCTAGACTGCAGGCTCCTATAGACTGGCTAAGCAGGGTAGACTCCCTGGGCAGTGGGACGCAAGCTGCCCGGCAGGTTCTCTTGGACAAGCTCTTCCTTCTCCTGCTGATGGCAGAAGACCAGGACCAAGCCCTGCAGCACAAGTGCTTGTCACAAGCTGCTTGTGTCACATCTGCTGGCATTCAACTGGCCAGTGCAAGCCACATGGACTTGGGCCATATCAGTGTGCAAGGGAGGAGGGGAGCATCTGGCTCCAGGGAAGGGGAGTGGATGTTTGCTGAGCAAGCCCAAGTGTAGCCCTGGGCTTATGGGTCCTTTTTAAAAGCCCTCGTGTGATTCTAGTGTTCAGTCAAGGCCAAGAACCATTGACCCCCAGTCACACTGCAAGTCACCCAGCCAAAAGGGAAACCAGGCCGAGCTGATTTTATTTCATTTTCTGAAAGCAGCTGACTCAACCAACTCTTCTCTCTTGGGGGCATTTTTTAAAGAAGAGAGTCCCTATAATTAATATGGCAAATTTGATTTTAACTAGTTTGTAGGCCTGGGCTTGTTCATCTGCAGTGTTCCTGACCCTCCCACAGTGAAGAGCACTGGGAAAAATACTAGGGTAGGATGCCCTTGGTAATTGGAAGGAAGGAAAGCGTGCATTGCATTAAGCTCCATAGGGTGGGATTTGGGGCTGCAGGATCATTGTTGTATCTCCAGGAGAGTGCTTGATGCACAGTAGTTGCACAATACATGATCTTTCAGTCAATGTGCACATGTATGGATAGGCTGTCTCCCTATGACAGTGAATGAATAGTGGATGGGTGGGTGTTTGCAGAGATGTATAAATGGATGGATGGGAGGATGGATGGATGAGCATGATGAGTAAGTGGACAAATAAATAGGAGAATGGATAATGGAGAGATGGGTAGATGGTTAGGTAGATGAATAAATGAATGGGTAAATGATTAGGAGTTGGATAGATGGGTGCATGGTGATTGATGGGAAGAAGATGGACAAATGGTTGGGTGGTAGATACAAGGGCAGGAGTATGGGCAGATGCACAACTAGGTAGGGGGTTGCATGATTGAATAGGTAAGTGGACGGGAGAATGGATAAATATGTGACTGGGTGGGTAGGTAAGTGTACAGGGGGATGAATAAATGGGTGGATTGATGAAGAGATGAGTGGATGGATGGATGTAGACAGATGGGTGGTTGGGCAGATCATAGGATCAAAGCAATGAATGAAAAATGAATGTGTGATTGTCAGAAAAAAGCCCAGGCTTCCCTGTGGGTGAAGATAACTGTCTTGTGAAACCATTTAGTGACCAGGATGGTCTTGGTATCCTCACAGGGTCTTCTAATTTGCTATTCCCTCCTCCCTGCTGAGTGTCTCTTCTGGAGGCAAGGGTGAAGGGTGGAAGAGATGGCGATGCAGATCAGTTCTCGGGGCAGAGAGCGTGCCATCGGGAATGAAGAATACAGCCTGTACAGCAGCCTGAGCGAGGAGGAGCTGATCCAGATGGCCATCGAGCAGAGCCTGGTGGACAAGACAAGGGGCTCAACCCTTCCTGAGGGCACTGGGTCAGCACGGGCCAACCACCAGCCTGCCCATTTCTACCCATGGACCAGGTGAGCAAGGCCAGGCTGACGAGTGAGCAGGGCTGTACGGGTATTCATAAGCTGCTGATGCAAATGTTGTCCATCTCACCATTACCCTGCTCCCTAATGCCTTTTTACACCATCATGATTTACATTTTATCTAAACTAAACGTATTGAGCTCTATCTGTCAAGGGTTGTGGTGAGTGCTATACAGGTGTCCTTGGTGTCTGAGGGAGATGGGTTCCAGGAGCACCCATGACCACTAAAACCCACAGACGCTCAAGTCCCTTATAGGAAATGATATATTATTTACTTACAACTTGTGCACATCCTCGCATATACTTTAAACCACCTCTAGATTTCTTATAACGTCTAATGCAATGTAAATGCTGTGTAAAGCGTTGTTGTACTGTATTGTTCAGGGAATAATGCCAAGGAAGAGGTCTGCACTTGTACGGACGCATTTCTTCAAATATTTTTGATCTGAAGTTTGTTGACTCCATGAACGCAGAGTGTATGGGTCCTGAGGGCCAACTACACTCTTGGTCTCATTTAACCTCCTAGTGACCCCTCTGGCTGTTTCTGCTACTGCCGTCCCATTTTCCAGTCAAGGGAACCGAAACTTAGGGCGAGTGACTGGTCCCAGGTCACAAATTAGTCAGTTGCAGACACTGGAACTAATCAGCTCCAAAGCCCGGGCCGTGGCCTGGCAGCCCTGAGTCTACACCTGAACACCTTGGATCTGAGGTGCAGTCGGGTCAGCACCCACCCTATTTGTGCAGTCTGTGGAAGGCAAAGGACATCATTCCAGCAAAGTGGTTCTGCTTCCTTCTGGCTGCCATCTCAGCACTGCTCACTGGGACCGGACCTTTGACGAGCAGCGACACCCAGTGGAATGTGATGTGCACCACAACCACCATGCACAGATGTCATTTCAAAACTCTTAAGAGCCACATCAGCAAAGGGCAGAGAAGCAAGTGAAATCAATTTGCATATGTATTTTGTCCCAAATATTATCAGGTCCACATGTCATCAATATAAAATTATGAATGAGAGTTTTACCTTCTTTTTTCCCTAACAAGGAAATCCAGTGGGTGCTGACTTGGGCTAAGTGGTTTCACTGCCGGGCAAGACCTCTTTCCCAGGAGGCTGGATAACTGTGGACGCCCTGTGCAGGCCTCCACTCCCTTACCCGTCTGTGGAGGAGGGGTCAGGGCTGGAGCTCACGGGTCGTCTCATTCTGATGTCTCTAAGCGCCCTCAGGACTCCCAGCAGGAACTCCCACACTGGTGAGAGGGCTGCGGGTGCGAGGGGGCCATGTGGCTTTGGAGCATGTCTCAAGTCCGACCAGCCACATTTCAGCTACTCCCTAGCCACATGTGGCCTGTGAACGCCATATTGGATCTATGGGACACCTGTGTAGAAGGTGGGAGTCAGAGAGGTGACCAAGCAGTAGATCTTCAGATGCTTTTAGAAAAGATATATAAACCCTAAAAATGCTTTTGCTTCCTCCTGAGCCAAGGCCAGGTGTATATTTGGAGGTGGGTAGTGGGGGAGGGAACTGTGGTAACAGTCGTCTGTGTCACCATGAAGATCGCAAGTCTCGCTTTCTCCAGCAGCCAGGTGGCTCCTTGTGCGACCTTGGTGAGTCACTTAACCTTTCAGAAGCCCTGCTTCCTTCTCTGCTTTCCCCAGTGCAGTCACAGTTGTCAGAGGGTGAAGCCTATAGCTCAGGCCTATCCCTCCGTGTACCTATCAGGGTTCTCCCGCAAGTGATTTTGGATCATGCTGAGGTCAGACCTCACTGTCAGTTGCAGGGGGGGGGGGCAAGGCCCAGCTGCCCACTGCTGAGGATCCCCTTCTAGAGGGGAAACTGGGTGGCTCCTTGGGCTGCTGGAGGAGTATGAAATTGCCAGGTTCCAGAGCTGTCCCTGAGGTCACTGCTTCCGGGAGGAAGGAGCAGAAATCCGTGGGCAAGTCTTGGTTCACTGTGGCCAGGTCCTAGGAGGCCGTGGTTCCTGTTCTGGCTCCGGTTCAGCTGAAGTCAGACCACAGGTTCTTCTTTCTCAGGAGGGGATCTGATAGAGATCTGGCACCCTCCCTTCAGAGACACGGCCTCCTGCACAAAGCCACATGTCTCCCTCGCACCTGCAGCCCTCTCCCCAGTGCGGGAGCTCCTCCTAGGACTCCTGAGGGCACTTAGAGACATTAGAACGAGGGGATCCGTGAGCTCCAGCCCTGACCCCTCCTCCACAGACGGGTAAGGGAGTGGAGACCTGCACAGGGCCATCCACAGTTATCCAGCCTCCTGGGAAAGTGGGCTTACCCGGAAGTAAAGCCACTTAGCTCAGGTCAGGCAGGCCCCGCAGATGATCAGGCCATGCAACAGAGGACCAATTGCATCTTCTCTCTCTGGCTGGGCCTGGGAATGCCTGGGCTCAGCTCTGTCCCTTTGTGTCTGGAGGGAGGTTGGGCTTGGGCCCTGCTGGAGGAGCAAATGTTCTTAATCGTAGGCTTAATGCAATCACTTTTAGCTTCACACTGAGCTCCTCCCAGGTGCCAGGCTGAGGTCAATGCACTTAACACTTGCAAGAGCCACAAAGGAGTCATGTTGCTGTGCCCACGTAACAGGATGACAAAAAAAGCACACAGCAGAGCCAGGAACTGAACCATGTCTGCCAGGCTCAGAAGTTCACATGCTAAATCAGGCCTGGTCAACTCTGCATAGGCCTCTTTCTGTCCTTCCCCTCCCTCACTTGGAGAAGGGTTTGGCCTCGTGACATCCACTTTCCACCCACAGGGGTTCAAGGTCCTGAAGACACACACACACGCGCGCGCGCGCGCACACACACACACACACACACACACACACACATTCAGACTGCGAGACATGGACTGCAGAGGGTACAGGACTCAGGGAGCCCTGCTCGCTGTCATCCCTGAATAGCAGTTTCCACCCAATAGACCCAGAGCAAGGACACAACTTATGTGTCTGTTTCTGCCATTAACCTGTCAACTCCTTGAGGGCAGGGACCTCGGGGCCTTCTTCTCTGTAAAGCTCCAGGCCTGACCCATGGCAAGTACCAGACAGCTCCCATGCACAACTGAGTGGATGGGTGAAGAACAGAGTGAATAAAGAAGCAGTGGAAGGAGAAGCGGGTTTGGGGCTTCAGAGCCTTCCTGTCACCTACTGGCTATGCAACCTCAGGCAATTTCCTTTCCCCGAATCTCGAATCTCGAAGATCTTATCTCTAAAATGGTAATAACCAAAGCTCACTCTACTCACCTTGCAGTATTTTCTTTAAGTGCTGGGGATGGAACCCGGGGTCTCAGGCATGCTAGGCAAGTGCTGTCCAGCTGAGCCACACTCCCCAGCTACTCTACAGCATTTTTATGAGAAGCAAACCCATTCAAGCCAGTACTGGAGCCTTCCCCATCCATACCTTAACCCTAACTTAACCTTCCCCAGCCCCTTCCTAAGTATCTGGGGCACCGATCTCAGGACTGCTTTTGCTTCATAAGCCAGCTTCTGTGTCACCCTACAAAGTCCTCCTTAAAATCTCCCCAACTACTCTGTGATCTTGGGGACAAGGAACAGGTATTGTTCACTTTTATGTCCTCAGTGCCCACCAAAGAGCCTGCATCATCGAATGTGCCTAATCAACACTTTTAGACAAATCCCTGCACTTTGAAACCCACAAAATGCTCTATAATTTATCATTATTGTCTTATGACCAAAATGGCAGGCAACCGAGACTTTGGAATCATAGAACAGAAAGCCGGATCCGTATCCCAAAGAAAATGTAATGTTCTTTTTTAAATCCACTTTTCTATTTGCTTCTCTTTCATCACAAAGTGAGACACATGCACGAGGGAGGTTTGCCTGGCCTCGGCTTGACAAGCGCTCCCACAGGAAGTAGAGTCCATGCGTCCACAAAGCAGGAGCACAGTTTACCATGATGGGCCAGCAGGCTGGGTCTTCCTGGTCTTTAAACTTCTGATTTTTTATTTAGGTTACATTTCTAAGAAGAAGGATAATATGAAGCAAGAACTTGCTTGGGCTGGTGTGTAGACACTGCCAACAACTCAGATTAAGCAGCCCACACCTACGTGGCTCTGTGAGCGGCCAGGTGCCTTTGGGCACTTGGTTGTGCCCTCCTAAGCTGAAGTCTAAAGAGGGAGAAGAGCCTGAGGTATACAGTGGCCCAGCAGGGAGGGCTGGCTGGGTTTCAGAGAGAAAGACAGGGCCCTACCTGCCTCTCGAAGGGCATGACCTGTAGCCACATCCTGCCAGGCTAGGTTCCTCTCACCCTAATGATGCAGTCAAGTGCTGTGCTCTACAGGGAATTTCCCTGCAGTGGCGGAGGGGAAATGGGGCCTCCAGCCTTGGGCCAAAAGAGCACGAAACCTATTAGAAGCTCCAGTCCTCATCCAGCCTGAGTCCCACAGCCTGGGACCTCTGAGCAGCCTCCCCGCCTGGACCCCAAGCCAAGTTAATGCACCCTGATTTCTGTGTCCAGACCAGCCTTCCAGACTTGATCCCAGTCCCTCCCTGTGGCTCTGTGGTTGTGTGCAACTTGTCTCCCACCCCACCGTCCTCTGGCCATCCCAAGGAGCCACAGAAAGACCCAACTTCCTGATGTGCATCCCCAGCTCCTGGCACAGGGCAGGAGCTGCAGCCTCATTGCCAGAGGAACTCAGTTTGTCTGTTTCCTCATCTGCAAAATGAGAACAAGGCGGTCCTGACTCCATGAAAGATGGAAAGAAGATGGATTGGAGACAGAGCTTAGAATTCTTCATGGCCGTTCGTCTTGCAAGATGGGAAGGGTTGTCACCACCACCGTGTTACTTTGCCTCCAGCAGCTTCAGCTCCCTCCACTGCAGGCCAGGAGCCAGAGCAGGAACCCTGAGCCCCAGCAGCTCTCTGGCAGGCGGACAGGGGCCCAGCGGCCCATGCTTTCCAGCCCCCTTCCGGGCCTGAACTGTGGCTCTTGGATCTGCTTCCCAACTGGGTTTCTCCACAGCCACAGGAGCAGTAAGGAGCCCTCAAGTCTGGTCCTGCCTTCCTACTTTGAAGATAAGGAGACTGAGCCACGAAGAGGGGAAGGCCTTGTTCAAAGTTGCAGGGCCTTTGGGTGTGGAAGCCAGAGGGTGAAGAGGCAGGAAAAGACCAGTGTTTGGTGGAGGAAGCTCTTTCAGGAGCTGCTCTGAACCTTGGCTCTGCTCACTTACCCGTTGTGTGTGACTTTGGGCAGTTACTGCCCTCTTGGGGCCTCAGTTTATTCATTTGTAGACAGGATGATGGCACCCATGAGGCTTAGTGGATGACACTGGACAAAGGCGTCCCGCTCAGCCTGGGGGGTCAAGCAGAGGGCAGAGAAGGAAGGATGCAGAGGCTGAAGGTGACCAGGCCACTGCCCCCAGGATGTCCTCCTGGATCCTCTGCTCTGTCACCTGCCTGGCCTTGCAAGAGCCATGGAACCTGTAACTTCTGGCCCATTCCAGCAGAATGTGGGTCCTGGCCAGGGTCTCCAGTGCAGCACTTCGTCCCTCACAGTGTTCCACGCATGGAAATACGTCTTCCCTGACCCCACAGACAGGCCTTTGGGCAGCAAAGGTGGCCCTGATGGGGCATCCAGAGTACCAGAGCTGATTTCCGGGAGGAGAGAGCTGGGGCCAACCAGCCCGATCTCACTGCAGCCTCAGGCGATGCCAGGCACACAGTGGCTGCCACCTTTCCTTTCAGTCTGCCCACCCTCTCAGTACCCTATGGAGTGGGGAAGCGGAGCCTCAGAGACCTAAAATCCTACAGTGAACAGGTGACCATCTCGAGCTCCCTTTGTGCCTGGCACTTCAATAAGCACCTCCTACCACTCACAGATCCAGGTCTCAGTGGCCCTCGAGACAGGGGCTGCCCTCAGACCACCTGCAGGAGGGGAAGCTAAGGCACAGGGTAGGCCACCCTGTCCCAGGTCACACAACTAAGCAGTGTCAGACTGCAGCCCCAATCTGCCTGACTCTTGGCCCCATGACCTTCCTGGTGTACCCTTCTGCTACAATCTCTAGGCTTAGTGCCTGACCCTCTCACCAGGAACCCGAGAGGTAAGGGTGGGCCACGTACCTACAGCCTGGCCTCCCCTGTCCCCCGCTTGCCCACAGATCTCTTCTCCAGTCCCCCCGGGAAGTGCCTGGCCAGCCATGGGACAGAGCCCCTTTTATCCAGGGACCTGCCACTGACCACTTCTCACATCCTCCTGGGTGAAGAGTGTCACCTTGCTCTGTATCTGCAGCCCTTGTGGTTGGCTGGGGAGGGGGCGGGCGGGGGTAGGAGTGAGGTTAACCTCATTGTTGTCTTATATGGTCATTTAAATCTCCCAGGGCTTCCTCCAAGGGCCAAAAATAATCCAGAGACACAGCAGCTGTGTCCAGCACACAGAGAGGACCCAGCCATCTGCTCTGGTTCAGAGCCCTGTGTCTGTCTGTCACTCAGCCTCTCTCCCCAGCTCTCCTCCATCCTTGCTCCTGCCTCGGCCATGACCCGCTTCTCCTATGCAGAATACTTTTCCCTCTTTCACGCCTGCTCTGCCTCCCACAGGTCCACAGCGCCTTCCGAGAGCCTGCCGGCCCGGTCCTCCATGGGTTTGTTCCAGGGGGTCATGCAGAAATACAACAGCAGCCTCTTCAAGACCTCCCAGCTGGCGTAAGTGACCCCTGCCCCGCTCCCACACCAAGCTCATGCCCCAACTGGTGTGGCAGGGAGGGTGGGGGTAGGGAGCAAGTCTGAAGCCCCAGGATAGCAGGGGGCACTGCCGAGGCACCTCCCAGGCAAGCCCTCCTAGGTGTGTCACCTGGGACCAGTTGCTCCTGTGGCCCTCCACTGGCCCCTTAGATGCTCCAGACTGGGATGTGTGTACTGGGGGAGCCGTATGGAGCTTAGAACCCAGGGCCCCAACAGGAGGAGACTGGGGAGGTGGCCTTGAAAGCCCGGAGTCCCAGAGGAGCTGGGAGGTAGAATGGAGGAGTTGCCGCACCTTCTATGTGTCCCATTTCACAGTCCCCCATGCCACCTTCCAGGGCCCATCTGAGCACATCCCAGATCCCCAGACCCACAGCTTTCGCTTCGCTTGTGCCTTTGTTTAAATGTCGAGTGCCGAAATCCAGAAGTAATCTGCGCCGCAGGAGAGGTTCTGTTTGCCTGGACTAGTGGGATCCTTGGGAGGCTGCTCTGTCTCCCTCCCCTCTCTGCACCCCAGAGCGACCCTAGAATGGCTGAAAACAAGAGAGGCCCTGTGCTGCCCCCTGTTTCCGTGCTGCCAGAGATGGAGCAGTTGCAGCAGTCAGGGTCCTCACAGAGAGGAGGCAGCCACCAGCCACTGCCCTGCTTCTCTTCCCAGCCTTCCAGACCCTGTGGCCACCTCGTCCTTGGTGTCTGGGTGGCTGTGATGGCTGGAGAAGAGACGGGGTTCTGCCCTCAGCAAAGTGCCACTTCCTTCTTGCTTGCCCAAGAGGGATTGGTCCCCCTGGGTCTCCCTTCTCTGTAGGACAAAGTTGGAGAGGACAATGTGGCCCCCGGGGTCCCCATCTGGCTTGCAGTGTCTGGTAGCCTGACTTCTGCAGCAGCCTGCCCACCCTTGGGGCGGAGACTTTGAGCTCACGCAGGAGCCGCCAGTGTGTGGTCTGGTCCTAGGTCCGGTCCCCCATGCACCACAGCTAGAGAGACTCACTCTGTCAGTGGGCCCCCACATCCTTCTCATGACACGAAAGGCCACCAGACCAGACAGCCCCTTCCCATCCACATCAGTGAGGCTTCACTGAGACCTCCCAGGAAAGAGGACCCAAACCCAGCGGGAATTTCCGAGGCCAACAGGGGCTGCTATGAGCGCTCCTAAGTGGAACTTAGTGCCAGTGATGGTGTTGATGGGCCTTTCAGGACTTAACTGGTCAGTTTCCCATCATCCTTGCTGGTCTGTAGCTTCGCTGGCTTCTGTACCCTGTTGCTATTAATAACCTGGGAGGCTGAGAGTTGAGAGGAATTGCTGCGCCCTGGAGGAAGCAGCTGGGAGGGTAGAGGGGCTGGTCCTGGGGACCCTCAGAACCCATCCTAGCCTTGCCATGGAGGGACCCTGTGCGTGAGGAATGGGGGCTACTTATGCAGAACCCTCCCCAGAAGTGGATTGGGAAGTCACAGCAGCCACAGACCTCCGAGTCTGTCCAGTGATGGGGGAGGAAGCTCAGTGAATGAATGAGTACTTAGTGAATGAATGAACGAGTGAGCAAAGTGACTGAGTTACCCAAGAAAGATATCCTTCGCCTTATAAGATTTCAACTGTAATGGCTTCAGATTTATTAAGCCACTGAGTCTTTCCATTTTCCAGCAGCTAGATGTGCTCAGGGTGGGGCTAGGGATTGGAGCAAGGAGGTGGGATAAACGCGAGGGAACACTCCGAGGGGTGTATGCCCTGCCCACCCAGGCGGCCCTGCAGGTAGTTGGGCTTGGTGCTGTGCTCAGGGAAGGCATTTAATTAGTGCAGGGCTCTCCCTGAGGGTGTTATCCATCCCTCCACAGGCTACTGCCTGTGCCCACATCCTTTTGGTAGATGCGGTCATGGCATGGCATTAGCTGCAGCCATGGAAACCCCAGGGATGGAGGGGTTGCCCATTCCTCCTGCAGCTACTGGGGTGCAGGGGCTGAGCACTGGTCTTGGAACCAGCTTACGGAACAACGAGGACTGGGGGACCCCACAGTGGCCCTCCGTCCTGGCCACCAGCAGACCCTGCTTGCCCTCTGGAGACAGGCCATCTGGCTTTGCCTCTGCCTGCACCCGAGACCTTGCTGTGTCTTGCTTTCACAGGCCCATGGACCCTGTGCTAAAGGCCATCAAGGAAGGCAATGAAGAGGCCTTGAAGGCCATGATCAAGGACGGGAAGAATCTGGGAGAGCCCAACAAGGAGGGCTGGCTGCCGCTCCATGAGGCTGCCTACTACGGCCAGCTGGGCTGCCTGAAGGTCCTGCAGCAAGGTGAGGCCAGCAGTGGGAAAGGGCCTGGAGAGGAACAAGGAAGGTTACCACCTCCACTGGACAGTTGCAGTCACTAAGTTGGGAGAAGGAAAGTGACTTGTCCCCACCTCACCCTGAACCACACCCCCTGCTGCCATCTTTCCAGGCCTCTCAGGATGAGAGAGAGCCTGATTCCTAGAAAAGGAATGAAGCAGGGATTACTCCTGGGATAACCACTGCCAGCATGTTCCAGAATGTTCCAGGGGCTGATTCAGTGTGGCAAATACTGCAGCTGCACCCGAGCCCTGCCAAGGCTGTCTGTCTCCCACCAGCTGTGGGACCCTGGGCCAGTCACACTGCCTCACTGAGCCCCCTCTTTGCTGTGAGCTGGATTCATGTGAGTAACACCTGCAGTCAGGTGTCACGAGGCCTTGATGAAGCCCAGGCCCCACAAAGCCCCACACACTCCAAGAAATAGCTGCAGGAGCAGTGGAGTTTCCACAGTAGCCGGTGGAGTACAAGAGGACAGGCAACCGGGACAGAGAAGGGGTGGGAGTGGGCTGTCGGGGAAGGCTTCCAGAGGAGTGGCGGTGTCTGAACTGTACTTCTATGACCCGGAAGCTGAACCAGTGCTAGGAAAGGGCAAGGTGAAGGCAGTCCGTGGTTGGTAACCTTCAGAGGAGGTCATACGTGCCCAGCTTTGGAATTGGAAAGAAACTGGGACTCCCCTGTGAGGTGATGTGGGTCCCTTTCTTCTTCATGCATTTCCCGGTGTGTCCCCCAGCGTACCCAGGGGCCATCGACCAGCGCACCCTGCAGGAGGAGACAGCCCTGTACCTGGCGACATGCAGGGAGCACCTGGATTGCCTCCTCTCGCTGCTCCAGGCCGGGGCCGAGCCTGACATCTCCAACAAGTCCCGGGAGACACCACTCTACAAAGGTGAGTCCCTGCCCACGTGGCTTCTCCTAGGAGGAGTCCAGAAGCTAGGCCGGTGGGCAATGTGCATGGCCTCCGAGTGGTCTTCTTTGAAGGCGGAGCCCTGACACTTTGTTTCCAAGTGCTCCCCAGCCCACCCTGGCCAGGCACCCTGAGGAGCACCAAGGGCTCAAAGGTGAAAGGATGCAGTCTTTGGCTGCACTTTCCTAGGACCCTGGTACAGATAACAGCAAGGAAGAGCTTGGCAGGAGGCACTGTGGGGGTGTGGGAGAGGAGGGCCTGAGAAGGGGAGCAGTCTCCACAGAAGAAATGCCTGAGTGAACACCAGCAGGAGAAATATGCCAGCTGGCCAGGCCAGGGAACAGCACGGGCAAAGGTGAAGAGGTAGAAGTGAGGGTGTGTACCTCTGGGATGTTCATTTAACAGAATAAAACCTCTGGACTTACTCAGGGCATCATCCACAGACATTCGCTGGCTGCCTTCCAATGGCCCAGGGTCCAAGTCTGAATGAGCACCATAGCTGCCATTTATGGAGAGCTTACTATGAGCCAGGCACTGGTGTTTTCTGGGGCCCTTACACACATCTCCCTGCGAGGTGGGCAGAGGAGACAGGCACTGCTCTTACCCCCATTTTATAAATGTGGCTCTCAGGCTCAGAGACACAAAGTGAGCTGCCAGCAAAGTGTGGACCTGGGCTCACTTGGAATGTCTATGAGCAGTGGGAACTGGGAGCAGGTGACTGGAGCTATGACCTGGAGCCTCAGCTATCCCAGGAAGCCGGCATGTCACAGGCAGGAGTTCAGTCCTGCTTCTCAGCTCCAGGCTTGCTTACCCACCTGCTCTTCCTCAGTCCTTTTCCCAACATCCTCTCTTGCTCATCCACTGATCACCTATTTTATGGTAAGAAAACCAAGGCATGGAGAGGAGAGAGCTGAGGCCTTGGTCCTACTTGACACACTGCATTGGCAGCCCCTCTCCCCGTTCCCTCCCCCAACACTGGCACGGAGAGCCTCCCGGGGCAGGTGCCCAGGTGACTTCAACACCACCTGCAGCTCCCTGGGGAGACTTGGCCAGAGCCCAGGGAGGGTTTGGGGTCCAGAGACAAGAGGAGGTGTAAGAAGAACGAGTGAACAGATTGAGAAAGATGAGCTGAACTCGGAAGGTAAAATTCTACCCCAAGCTAAACAAGCAGCCTTTGAGGATGAGGTTGGGGCTTTAAACAGGAATATGAATAGGAATATCTAGCAAGATTCTCCCAGCCATGATGATGTGGAGAACTGAAGTAGGCAACATTCGAAAAGGAAATGTGTTAGGGACATCGTGGAACATTCAAGGGGGCGGGGACTCTGGCTCTTGACTCCAGGGGTTTGAATTCCAGTTCTTCACTTTGGGCAAGTCACCTACTTCTCTGTACTTCACCTTCCTCATGCGTGGAGGGGGATGATAACGCTACAGTCCTTAAGGATCAAAGATAAACTGGTGAATTGTGCAAAGTGCCTCGACTCGTGACTCGGAAGCAATGCTAAATATGTGCCGATGTTAGCATTCCTTCTAATCAGTTAGCTTAGGCTCCTGGCAAGAGCAAGAACCTAGCACAGACTGTGCTGATACTTGTTTAATGAATGGCTGATGAATGAATGAGTGAATGGTCTTGGCTGGCAAGGTCTCCCCACGGCCCCACTGACCGACTTGTCCCTGGCACAGCCTGTGAGCGCAAGAACACGGAGGCGGTGAGGCTGCTAGTGCAGCACCACGCGGACACCAACCACCGCTGCAACAGGGGCTGGACAGCACTGCACGAGTCCGTGTCTCGAAATGATGTGGAGGGCATGGAGATCCTGGTGAGCGGCGGAGCTAAGGTGGAGGCCAAGAACGCCTACGGCATCACGCCCTTGTTTGTGGCCGCCCAGAGTGGGCAGCTGGAAGCCCTCAGGTTCCTGGCCAAGCACGGTGAGTGGCTGAGGGTTCCTGGGTTATGGGGTCCCCCAGGGGCAGTGCTGGAAGGGAGGGCAAGTGTAGGCGTGGTGTGGTCGTGCTCTGCACCAGGGACCGTGTCTGCGGCAGTGCCATGTTGGGAGGGATGCTGAGCCTGTCTCAGCTCCGTGGTGCCCTCGGTGGGATTCCCTAGTGGTCACTGCAGCCAGGCACAAACAGGGGATGTGGGCCCGGTGCCACACATTTGCCACCTCCACTCCAGCCCAATATCTCACTTTGCAAAGGACGAATCTGAGACCCACCAAAGGGGAGCAACTTAGCTATAGTCATGTAGCAAAATTATTTGTGGAACTAGCTAGACTGTTGGACTCCTGACACCCCAACCACTTCTCTTTCCACTGTGTCACACTCAAAGGTTAGAAAGGAACCTCGGACCACATTTAGAGCACTTTTGTTTTGCAGGTGATGTGACGGGGACCAGGATGGGAAAGTGATTTGTCTGAGTTTACATAGCCAAGAAGAAGCAGAGCTGGGATCTGAACCCAAGTCTGTGCCTTCTTTGCTTGTGAAAAGTCTTAATGGGAGAAACTAAAACAATCTTTCCTGCATGACAATGTCCCAGTAGCATAAGACCCTGAGGCCATGGCAGACCATCCTGTCCTTCTGGTTAAGGAACATTGCATTCTGATCTCCCCCAGAACACTTTGATTTCTTGTCCCTCTGCACAGGAAGGAACCCTCCCTCTCCAGCAAGAGAGTTCAGAGGTCGTGCAGACCTTGGGCCTGATCTGGAGTAATTTGTGGAGGACTCGCTGTTAGCAATACTGCTAAGCATGAACACACTTTCTTTAAGTCCCTGGAGTTTCCCCCAAAGCCACATGACCTGGACAGTGTGCCTATCCCGTTTCATACCTGAGGACCTAGGTTTGCAGTGCTTGAATGACAGGTCACAGTCAGAGCCTGGGTTCTGACCCATGTCCAGCTGCCCCCCAAACCTCATGCTGCTTGCACTGGGCTGGCATCCAGATCAGGTCCACACATTCAGCACGTGCCTGAGCAGTTGGAAAACAGACTCGAGCCACTTCCCTGCAGCCTGGGACAATGTTAGAGCAACCACAGGAGAACAAAGGGACGAGGCAGGGCCCTGGGAGCCCAGGCCAGCAGGCTGAGCAAAGGGCAGGGCGCTCAGCAGGTGAAGCCGAGCTCTACCCAGGGCTCCTGCCGACACCAAGTCAGGGGCCGTTCCCCTTGTGGGCTAGGCCATCTTTCAATACAAATATTTTCTTTGTGTGAGCAGGCAGCTTTGCTGGCAGGGCCCAGGCCTTCCAGGGAGACTGATTTTGAGGTCCGACAGCGAGATGGAGCAGCCCATTGGCTCTCCCTGTGTGGGAAGGGCAGACTTGACCTCCACCCTGGACCTTTTGTTTTGCACAGCTGTCTTTTGCTGAGTACTGTTGTCGCTGTGCCAGGACTGTCAAGAGGCTGGCTCGCATTATCTTATTTACTCCTGAGCGGTGGGGACTACTTACTATTCCTGGTCAACGGACGGTAAACTGAGGCTCCTAAAGGCTGCCTGAAGGCTGCCTGAGGCCACTGGGCTTGGAAGCCATGAAAAAGAAATTTCAGCTGGTTCTTGGCTTTCACCAGAGCCTGTGCTCTTCCCACTATAGCAGAAACTGGTCCACTGGCATTGAAAATAAAGTTACCAGGATGGTAGCTTTAAGCCCGAGGTAGGGGAATGTTCAGAGAAATGAGCTGTGGCCAGCAGAAGCCTCACTGATAGCAGCTCTAGCCCCTTCTGGAACCCAGAAGGAATGTGATCCTTCCTCTTCTTCTTCTTCTTCCTCTCCTCCTCCTCCTCTTCCTTCTTCTGCTTCTGCTTCTACTTTTATTTCAGTACTTGAGCTTGAACTCAGGGCCTTCACATTGAGCTACATGCCTGCCCTTTTTAAAAATGTTTAACCTTGAGGCAAGGTTTCATCAATTGATTAAGTCACCCAGGCTGGCCTTGAACTTCAGCCCTCCTGCTTCAGCCTCCCAGAGTGCTAGGATGATGGGCATGTGATCAGCCACTCCCAGCTGACTCCTCTTTATTCAGGAAATCAAGTGAAAGGCAGTTCTGTCCTCACCATTCAAGATGCAGGCCAGGGAGAAAGTTGAGCTGATGGTAGATTGTCACCAGGCTGGATGCTTCCTCCTCCTAGCGTGGACCAGCGATTTCTTGGTTTCTGTGGAGGAGACAGGAAGTAATTTTCCTCTTATTTCTTGCAGAAAATAACAGATTTCAATTAGTAAAATTATGTAGGTTTTCCTTTATGGGATACCCTGGGCTCTGCTCTGCCGGGGCTGTGAAGTCTGTTTCAGGCAGAGACCTCTGAGGTCCACTTGTAAAGAGTGAGGGCTGCATGCAAATGACAACAACGCTGAGATTCCACCTCACTCCAGAAAGAATGGCTGCTATCATGAAATCAACCAGTAACAAATGCTGGCGGGGCTGTGGGGAAAGAGGAACCCTGCTCCACTGCTGGTGGGAGTGTAGACTGGTGCAAGCACTGTGGAAATCAGTATGGAGATACCTCAAAGAACTAGGACTGGAAGTCCCATTTGACCCCGCTATTCCCCTGCTGGGGATCTTCCCCAAAGAATTAAAAGAATCATACCACAGTGGTATATGTGCACCCATGTTCATAGCAGCACAGTTTGTAATAGCTAAAACTTGGAAACAGCCCAAATGCCCATCAACTGGAGACTGGATAAAGAAAGTGTGGTCTTTTTTTATAAAATGGAGTACTACTCAGCCATAACAAATGAGAAATTAGAGACATTTATAGCTAAGTGGATGCACATTGAGGCCATACTCTTAAGTGAAATAAATAGGACACACTTGTGTAAATACCGAATAGTTTCTCTGGTGTGAGAAACTGAAAGTGTAAATAAGGACTAAATGTATAATAGGTCACGTGAAATAGGAAGAAAAGGGGCAAAGGGGAAGGAAGTGGGAGGGCTAGGGGAAAGGATAGAAGGGAATGGGATTAATATGAGAAAATGGAAAAATAGGAACAAAATCTTTATAAATAGGGAGGAATGGAGGGGTTGAAGGGAGGGCTGGGCAAGGGTGAAAAATAAGAACCAAGAGAGACTATGTAAAGGTGCAAATTTCCAATGATGAATGTCATTATATTGTATACCTAAAATGTACCAACGATTAGAATGAATAATCGATAATGTAAACTAGGAAGAAAAGGTCCAAAGGGGTAGGGGTAGTGGGAGGGGCAGGGGAAAGGAAAGAAGGGAAAGGAAAAATGATGAGAAATGGAAAAAATGGAAATAAAGTCTTTGTAAATAGGGAAGGGTGGAGGGCGTGAAGGGAGGGCTAGGAATGGGGAAAAAATAAGAACCAAGATGCATTATGTAAAGGTACAATTCCCAATGAAAAAAAAAAAAAAGAGTTGAGGGCTGCAAGGATGACCCCTGCTTTCAGGCTGCCCACCATGCCCTCCGCCATCAGACTGCCTACCATGACCATGTTCAGTAAATGCCGGCATCATTGCAGCTACTCCCTGCCCCTGAGAGGCCTTGCTGCAGGCCACTAGGCCCTGCTCTGGCAGCTGCCCAAGGAGCTGAGGATGGCCCTAGGCAGACTCGTTCTTGCTAGGGGTCCTCGTGAAAGAGCTCTTGCATCATACGTTAGCACAGTAGTGCCTAGCACATAGTAGGTGCTACAGTAAGGCAGGGACCTCCCAATCACCTGTGGGGCTGCTTCTCCATCACCAGGTGCTGACATCAACACGCAGGCCAGTGACAGCGCGTCTGCCCTCTATGAAGCCTGCAAGAACGACCACGAGGAGGTGGTGGCATTCCTGCTGTCACAGGGTGCAGATGCCAATAAGGCCAACAAGGACGGCTTGCTGCCCCTGCACATCGCCTCCAAGAAGGGCAACTACAGGTCAACAGGCACCCCACCCCACAGTGTGCTGCTCCCTGGGGTCACATGGGGAGCGGGGCGGGACAGGGGGTGGGCAGAGCACCTGCTTCTACGACTGTCCCCAGGAGGGCCAGCATGGAAGGTGCCCTTCATAGGAAGGAGAAAGCTCTTCCAGCTATTAGCAAGTGGCAGCAAATGCCTGTCACAGCTGCCACAATGAGAAGAGCTCACAGGGCTGTACCTCTTACCAGCACTTTACATTATAAGCTTGGTTAATATTTTCAACAGCTCAGTGAGGTGCATACTACTATTATCTCTACCTTAAGACACAGAGAAGTCAAGTGATTTCCCCAAGGTCACACTGCATATGGGTGCCAGGAACTCACTTGCTCCAAATGTCACATTTACAGGATTTCACTCAGGGGGACAGATATGAATCTGAATTAGTGGATATTTCTAGGAGAATGCAAAGATAACCTCCCAGGCAATCAGGAAGCATACAGGCAATGCCTACTACAATAGGAACAGTACTGATGCTGAAGTTAGTGGTCACTGAGCACTTTCTATGTGCTGGGAACTAAGGGCCAGATGGGAGGAGCTTAAGTCCTCAAACAGCCAACCTGGTAGGAGGGAAGATGCACATGCGCACACTCACATGCACACACACTCACATACACATACACACACTCACATGGTGCCATAATGGAAGCACATGCACAACTAAACTCCAAGGTGGTCCCAGCAGAGAGAGGCTATTATGGGCTGGCAGCCGGCTTACTGTGGAGCAGCTCTCATGGGAGCCCACTGTGGGCTTCTCTTCCTAGCTCTTTGTTCACTGACCTCGTCTTGATACCTTAACCTCAGCCATGTGGGAGTTTTTACACCCCAGAAATTGGCAAATGCTACAGATCAGTTCCTGTGACCACTTCCCTTCACCCCCACTCCACCTGAGAGCCTGCTATTAGATATTTATCAGCAACACTGTGGGTGGGGAAAGACTCCAGGAGGGGGAACTCCAGCTGCCCTTAGAGACAAATGGGGCTGGGTAATTTCCAAGATGTTTCTCAGGTGGGCCTCACCACTGCGCTGTGGGGGCAGCTCGACCTTCCTTCCCATTTTACAGATCAGGAGACTGAGACCAGGTAGTCAGGAGACTTGCCCCATAGTGAGCCACCCAGGGCCAGGGCTTAAAGCCTAGCAATCGGACACTTCCCACTGGATCATCGCTTCCTAAACTGTGGTCCTTTCACAGCCTTTCTTCCTGAGCACAGGAAAATACTCCTTGCTTAGTAGTTTCCTTTAAATGAAATTTTTAAATTTAAAATTAATACATTTTACAAAGGAAGCACTCATCACATTAGTGTGGTGTTAAAATGATCATTTTACAATTAATAAATAACTTTTCCACCTAAAATCCCATCTCATGTGCCCTGAATGACACACTGGGGAACATCCTCATCTTCCAGGCGGGGAGAAGGAAGAGAAAGACAGATTGAGGAGTGTTTGCCATTTTCACTAAGGCAGAGCAGGGAATAGAGGAAAGTGACATCACAGAGAAGGAAGTGAAGGCCCCAGGAGGCAGCACAGGCCCCTGGAGCCCCAGGCCACCCCACACCACCAGCTTTCCAAGGACTGCCCGAGAAGGGGTTAAGGGCACCTTCCCGGCAGCTTTTGCCTCTGACAGGGCCCGTGGCCAGCTGGCCCTGGCTTCTCACTCAGGCTAGCCTGGGCTTATATGCCTCAGAGCCTGCTCACACTGCCACCATAGTCTGCTCAGGGACTTGATGACGCCTCGTGGCATCCCACATTCAGCCACCTGCCCAACACCTTGCTGCCCCTCATCCTGGCCTGCAGTGCCGCACCAGGCCGGGGCTGTTTGCCAGAGGCACCTGCTTTTCAGCACACTTAGAGGAGGGTGTGACATTCAGGCACAGCTGAGAGGATCCCTAAGATCCCAACATCTTAATCATCTCCAAAATGCACTTTTTCCTGTTTTTCATTTTTTGTTTGGCAAATGCACTTTGTGAAATTAAAGATCAACATCAAAGACAGGTTTATTAAGAAATTATGTGAATTAGACAAAACTAGATGCCCAGGGACAGCCCCCAAAGTGGTGGTCCCCAACCTTGGTGCACACAGAAACCCTGGATTGCAAGAACCCTGGTGCCTGTGCCCCCCTCAGGGATGCTGGTGTAATTGGCCTGTGCCCTGGCTTCAGGGTTTCTAAATGCTGCCCAGGTGATTTTATGGGGGAGAACCAGGATCTTAGCATTTCTTTTGGGGCCAACAGAAAATACATACTTGCAGTTTAGGCCTCACTTCTGACTTCATTCTTTTTCCCCCACACATACCCACACATGCACACATACAAATGTGTTACAGGCAGAGCCTTCTGTGGCTGGCTACTTCCCATGTGAAAGTCAAGTTCACCCACATCAAACTGGCACTGAACACTGACTCAGGTCAGAGCACTGTGACCTGGTGACCCAGAGCTCCCCTGCATTTGGTGCAGCAGGGACAGGGCTGTCTTTACTGTGGGGCTCAGTGTGCCGACAGCCATGGTGTCTTGATGGCCTACTGTGTACTAATTGCACCAAGGTGTAAGACCCCATTTCATGCGCAAAAGCAGCTCTGAATTACCAAACTATGTAATCAGCACAGCAACTGCACCTTGCTGGACTGTTATGAACAATAAACAAGTTTAAATACTTAGCGAAAGGAGGTAAATTAGAAAAACCTAAAGCAGTGCCTGACACATAGTAAGTGCTCAAAAATATAATCATCAGTTATTTGGGAAGAAGTGTTCACAGCCATAAGGGCTCCATAAAATTATCTATAGCTGTATTTGTCATCATCATCACTATTGTTATTATTAAAGTACCCATCCGTTAAAGGGTTCAGAGAGATTAAGTGACATGCCTCAGATGGCGCAGCACTGACAGGCAGAGCTTGTTGTGTACTCTGGGTCCAGATGATTCTGACTTCTCAGTTTCTTCACCACACCTGCCAGATGGTCACATTGCCAAGGCAGCCTGGTTTGGCCAGGAGCCCTCACCTACTCCCTGCTCCTGGGCTGGCTTCAGGCAAACATCAGGGCCTGGGACAGGCTGCATGCAAGGAAGGCCACAGCCTTGAGAAGCTGGACTCCTAGGCAGGGAGCTAGGCCTGGCAAGGACAAGAGCTCTTACTGGGAGGTCCCACGACAGGGCAGCAGCCTCGTCGTCCGGACTGAGGTCCCAGTCAGAGGCACCCAGCAGCCGTGGTGCCCACTGAGCATCAGTGCCAGGCCTCGTGGGTACAGCCTCAAGCTGGCCAGAGCTGAGCAGAGGTGCAGCCCCACCCTGGGAGGGAGGAAGCCAAGCCTCCCGACCTCTCACACTAGGACCACAGTCGCCTCTGTTCCTCTCCACAAAGTGCCATTTCATCAATAGCAATCTAACCCCAGGACCTACCTCTGAGAAAAGGGGGTGGCCCCAGCCTGTTTCGTGGGTTGCTTTCTTGACTTTCTGTTTTCTGTCCCACAAACAGGGCTGAGGGAGAGGGGTGATAATGTACCACAGGCCACGTGGCCACTCCCAGAGTTTAGAAGTGGGGCACCACAGAAAGGCATAGTCCTAGGCACCCAGACACCTCCTGTCCACCCATTTTCTGCCCAACTTCACTATCTTTTCCACTCCAAGCCTGAGCCTCAGTTTTATCCTCCATAAAACAGGAGGGTTGGACATACTGCTCCCTGGGCCCTGTCCAGCTTTGTACATTTACTTTCTGCCAAGTTCTGCAGAAGCCTAAGGCCATCAGAAAATTTATTGTACTACTGAGACATGGTTCTGGGACCTGAGGCTGCATCCCGTCAAGTTCCCACATGTCTGCCACTTTCCTTTGGTTCGGCAGGGGATTGCTGGAGTCCAGCTGTGGCCTGCCAGAGATACCAGCCCCAGCGGGCCAGCAGCCCAGGGAAGCCCCCTCCCTGTCCTTTCCTGGGCTTGGGCATGTCATGTCACGGCTGTTACAGAGCATTTGTTGGCCATGGCCACCGTCCAGGGTGAGGCCCCTGCCCTGCCTTTGACCAGCACCTCTTCGGAGCAAGGTCAGACCTCCAGAGTCTGCACAAATAGAAATTAGGAGGCAATTAGCCCCCTGGGTGTGTGAATTTCCTTTTGAGGTTTTAGAGGCAGATTTTAGCCAAACACAGCATCACTAACAATAATAATACTTTCCACTGATATCCCAGCAGGAGGTTGCTGGCATCAGATTTCCAAGAACGCCAGAGGGAGGCAGGCATGCCAGGAGGCTACAGGCGTGGGAACGAGCCTGGTGGCACCTGCTTCTCGGCCACGGCCACCTCATTGGAGCCCCACACGAGGCAGTGAGGTCACCTGTCAGCAGGGATTGAACAGATTAGGGTGAGGAATCTGGTTGGTGGCAGGGGCCTAGGAGGCAGAGGTTCAGGAGAAGAGAGCCAAGATGAGACATAAGACCTTCAAGTCATCACTGCAACTCTTTGCACCTCATCTGTTAAAAGAAGGCCATGGACTAGTGTGGCTCTTCCACAGGGTGGCAGTGAAGGTAAAATGAGGCAGGCAAGTCAACACACTGGGGAGACTGCAACTCCCCATGACAGCCCTTGTCACCATGACTGCTACACAAGAAGTAGAGAGTGGCTAAGAACGTAGCCTCACAGTTCAACCAGCCTGGCTCCATCACTTCTTGGCTGTGTGTCCTTGGGAAAATCACATACCCTCTCTGGACTTGTGTTTCCTCATCTGGAAAATGATAATATAAGGTAACCACCTCAGAGGGTTAGGGGGGGCTTCGAAGATTAGTATAGGCAGAGTGCTGAGACCAGCGCCTGAGTCAACAGGAGAGAGGCCCAGGGGTCACAGGGAGCTCCAACCCCAGCAATCAAAGGCATGCAGAAGGGCTGGAAGAAGCTGAGTCCACCTACAGGAAAAGAGGCTTTGAGTTTCACAGGAGAGGGAAGGCTGAGTACAGCAGAGTGACTGGGGCCTGGGGCAGAAGAGACTGGGGACAGGCATGTTTGTCTCTTCCTGTCCTCCAGGATCCAGCAGCGTCATCAGGGTCCCAGGGCATAAGACAGGATGCAGGACAGCTCGGCCCCCACACATCCCGGTTTACCTCTCCCAACTGTACGGCGTAGCCATAGCAAGTGCTTTAACCTCGCCAAGCTTTGATTTTTCTCATCTGCAGAATGGAACAGAAGACATGATGCATGCTTTGTGGGTTCTTGTAAAGATAAAATTCCCTTTCCATCACTGGTCTCTGCTGCCTCCTGCAGCGAGTAGCTTGCTTTGGGGGCCCCCCAGCCAATTCTCCAGAGTACTGTGCTGAGAATGGGCAAGCAACCTTCTATAGCCTGAAATAAATCAGCAGGAGCTGAGGTTTTTAGGAGTTCAGACTCCGGAGATCAAGGTTCTGAGTTTGCAGCCCAGCGCCACCCTTTACGGACTATGTGACTGTCAGAATCTAGCTGGAGCTTTCAGAGGCTCTGTTTCCTTATTTGTAAAGTGGGGCCAGTGGCTGACACCCCCTCACCCACGTGCTAATTGTGAGCACAGCGGTCCCTTGGCGCCCCCTCCTGGCGGAGTCACACCCCAACCCACCCCACCCCACCCCCACGGCCACCCAGTGTTGGCCTTCTGGTGACCCCGTGCGTCCCGCCCGCTTCCCCCAATCCAGGATAGTGCAGATGCTGCTGCCAGTGACGAGCCGCACGCGCGTGCGCAGGAGTGGCATCAGTCCGCTGCACCTGGCTGCTGAGCGCAACAACGACGGGGTGCTGGAGGCGCTGCTGGGCGCGCGCTTCGACGTGAACGCGCCGCTGGCTCCGGAGCGCTCGCGCCTCTATGAAGACCGCCGCAGCTCGGCGCTCTACTTCGCTGTGGTCAACAACAATGTGTACGCCACCGAGCTGCTCCTGCAGGCCGGCGCCGACCCCAACCGCGACCTCATCAACCCGCTGCTCGTGGCCATCCGCCACGGCTGCCTGCGCACCATGCAGCTGCTGCTGGACCACGGCGCCAACATCGACGCCTACATCGCCACGCACCCCACGACCTTCCCGGCCACCATCATGTTCTCCATGAAGTGCCTGTCGCTGCTCAAGTTCCTCCTGGACCTCGGCTGCGATGGCGAGCCCTGCTTCTCCTGCCTATACGGCAACGGCCCACACCCGCCTGCCCCGCAGCGCTCCAGCAGGTTCAGCGAAGCCTACACCACGGACAAGGCGCCCGGCATGGTCCAGGTGCCCCATGGAGAGGCGCGCTGGAGGGTGGCAGAGCCGGCGTCCACAGGCTTGCCTTAGAGGCGATGTGGACTGGTGGCTGACACACCTTGGCGCGAGTGTGGACTGCAGTATGGCAGGGTGGTGGACTAGCTTCAGAAGCAGTGTGGGGTGACAGGCAGTGCGCTTCGGAGGGAGTGTGGATTAGTGGTTAGTGTGCTTTGTGGGGATGTTAACTAGTAGCCAGCAGAGTCTGGAGCCCGGAATTGCTGGTTAGCACCTTCAGGGACAGCAGAGCAGCCTGGTTCACGTGCAAGATGAAATCCGTATGTGGGTTCAGCACGTTGGGAGACATATGGAACTAACTGTAGAGCAGGGGATTGGCAGGAACTCAGCAAAACTAAGGACTCCTTACTCTAAGCAAATTTACACCTAGGATCCGGGTTAAGTGGACAGGATCCAGCAGGGGGCAACCAGAGCAGGCTGGCGGGAGGTCAGGAAGGTCCAGGAGGCCAGTGGCCTAGAGGCAGGACCTGCCCCAGGTGTCCCCTGGAAGTCGGCACTTAGAGCGAAAAGGAAGCTGGAAACACTCTTCTGTTGGAGATCACTGTCATGGCAAATGGGCAGCGCTGTGGGCTCCCTACTGTGGGCAGAGAAGTCCACGTTCCTAGTACCTGAATCCTCATTTGAAAAATCCCCTTGAAAGGGGTGCCATAGACTTCTTAATTTCTATTTTTAAATTTTACTTAACTGTACTGGGGATTGAACACAGGGCCTTCTCACTGAACTGCATCCTCAGCCCTTTTTTCTTTATTTCGAGACAGGGTTGTGCTAAATTGCCCAGGCTGAGCTTGAACTTGCAATCCTCCTGACTCAGCCTCCCAGAGTGCTGGGATTACAGGCCTGTACCACTCCACCCAGCTCATATACCCATTTTATATACAAGGGAGCTGAGGCTCAGAGATGGTGTAACATGCCCAGGTTGTCCATCTTTTCTGCTGTAGGCACAGAGGCCTGTGTTGAGAAGGGACTGTGTGGGGCATGGTTTGTAGGAGCCAAGGGAGGCCGGGAGTCTGTCTTCCACACACTCAGGGCCCACCTGAAGGATGACCACTCCCTTTCAGTTCTGCGAGATCCTGTCGGCCCCGGAGGTGAGCCGCTGGGCAGGGCCCATTATCGATGTGCTTCTGGACTACGTGGGCAACGTACAGCTCTGCTCTCGGCTGAAGGAACACATCGACAGCTTTGAGGAGTGGGCGGTGATCAAGGAGAAGGCAGGTAGGCCCACCGCCATGGCCCCAGGCCTCCGAAATGCCACTGCAACTAACCTCCCAGTGCCGGGCCTATGCTGTGCTGCTGCAGACAGTGTCAGTGCCCCCTTGGGTGACCAGGCCCCATTTGGTCAGAGTCCCGAAGCCAGGCAGTGATGGAGCTGGGATCCCAACCTGGGCCTGACCAAGGCAGGTTACCCCCTCCGTGAAATCTTCCCACACTATTCAGAATATCCCTGGCTCCCCGAGGGGCCTGTGGAGTCTGTCGCCCACGTTTGGGGCCACAGAGAGGCAGCGTGGCAGGTGGGGAGGATGGTGCGAGGGGGCATGGACAGGGCACTCACCTGGGCCTCTTACCCAAAGACGGCTTCTGGCCCCGAGGCCTGCCACAGGCCCGAGAGTCTGCATCCTGCCTGCCGCCTAGAGGGGCCGACGCTGCTGGCCTGCAGGCTGCCTCTGGAGCAGCCCTGGTCCAGGAGATAGACAGGCTTTGAGCTCTGCAGACCCCACCCACTGAGCAGAGGGGTTTGGGCAGGCTCAGGAGTGTGAATGGGGGTGCCTGGCCCCTGTCTTCAGATGAGACCATGCTGTGTCACCCACCAGGGCCCAGCTCTCGCTCACCAAGCTCCTCCTGGATCCTCACTCCTGCTCCTTTCCCCTGGCCTCTCATTGGTGCAGGGCCTGAAAAGCAGCGGAGTTGATGTCTTTGTAAAGTTAGTGAGACAATGTCAGGGGAAGGGTGGCGTGAATTTGCCCACTCCCTTGGGCCCAGCTCCCAATGAGAAAGTTCATTGACTGTTGAGTAACTGACTGCGGGCACCACCATCCTTGGCCACTAGAGGGTGGAGTGGTGCACACCTAGATGTGCGGACCTCGGGTCCTGTCCTCTCCTCTCCCTTTCCCCGGAGGTCCAGCATAGCGCGTGCGGAGACCTTAGTGAAGCAGATGATTCTGAACCAGTGCCTATCTCAGTGACTTTACAGCCTCTTCTGCCTGCAAAACTCTCCACCTGCCTTTGCATTTGATGCTTGGGTGCTGCCATGGTTTTTCTGGGGAGAAAGCAGACAGAGACCCCGGGAGGTGGCAGGCAGTGGCCCTCAGTTCACCCGCCCAGCCTTCAGGGCTGCATGTCCTGTGCCCTCAGTGGCTTTTTGCATCCCTCCCACAGGGCAGGTGCTGCCTTCCCAGCAGGGGCCTCTGTCCTAAGTGGCATCAGAAGGCAGTGGGAGCATCAGAAACACCACAAAGGGGCATGGACCCCTGGCTAGGCCGTGCTCAGCCACAGGCCTCTCCACACCCCTTGTCCCCCATGCTCCCTGAGGCTGCAGTGGCCTCTGGGCCTGGCATGTGCTGTTTTCTCTACTTACGATGCCCTTGCCTCCCTTCCTTACCTGGCAAATTCCTGCCTGCCCTTCGGAACCCAGCACAGAAGGCACCATCCGGTATGGTCCTTCCCCTCTGCCCTGGGCAGGAACTCCTGCACCAATGGGCCCCACACTGGCCTCAGCAGGCCAAGAAGCCCAGCGTGTGCTTGTTGAATAAATGAATGAATGAATGAACAAATGGCATTCTTTGATCCAACAAACATCCTCCCTGTGCCCAAATAAATTACCCACTCACTGTTCAATATGTGAGTCCCTAGCCCTGCCTCTCCCACCCCAACCTTTCAGCTGATAAAAATGCACTGGACAAGGCATTCCAGGGGACTGTGGAGTTGCAGCTAGGTGGGGTCTGGGGGTCCTGCTCCTTTCCCCTGGCCTCTCAGCATCAGCAGGAGCCTGCAGTGGAATTCCACATCTGAAACTTCAGACTCCTTTGCTGAATGAGGCTGTTTGGTGATCCAGGCTGTAGGTGAAGAGGAAGTTGCACAAATGAGTGGGATGTGAGCCCTTATCCCAGGAACATCTGGACAAGACCAGGAAGCTCATGAACCTGTTTTCCTGCCTGGGAAGTGGGTGTGGCATCTCCCCTGTCTACTTCCTGGGGTAGTGTAAATGGGTGCTGTGACAGTGGGAAGTTCCCTTCCAGGCTCTTCAGCCGCAGGAACTGGGGTTACCCCTGACAGGCACCTCTCTCATAGCCAGCCACACCTGCTGGGCATCCTCCATGGGCTGAGATCACAGATGCGCACCTTTGTGGGGTGCAAACGACAGTCAGCATCTCTCTTTCTCGCATTTTTCCAGAACCTCCAAGACCTCTGGCTCACCTTTGCCGGTTGCAGGTTCGAAAAGCCGTTGGGAAATGTCGTCTAAAACTCTTGGACACGTTGCCACTCCCGGGCAGGCTGATTAGATACCTGAAATATGAGAACACCCAGTAGTGGGCCTTGGGAAAAAGGAGTGGCCCCTTGACTGTTTCCATGGCAAGATGGCAGCATCCCCGGTTCAAGGGCACTGGAGACAGAACAGGGCTGCAGGTTGTCTCCCTCTCAGCCGGGTCTGCACCAGCACTCTGTTCAGAGTGGAGAGCACAGTGTGTCCAGTAGGAGAAGAATCGTGCGTTTGCAAATTGTTGAGTTGATCCCAGACCAAATGGCAAAGACCTCTGTCCAGGGCAGAACTCAAGGTGGTCTGGGAAAAGGAGGGGCCACGGAGGGTCCCCAGCCTCCACCTGAACTGTGGCTGGAGACCTTCTAGGAACGAGTTTGCCTTTCCAGAAGGACCTCTCTTCAGAGCATTCCCTGCACCCCTACCTGTCTCTGTGAAACCCTCCACCGGATCTCAGCCAGGGAGGGACCCTCGGTCCCGGGGGCTCCTCTGAGTACAATAAATGTTGCACATGTGAGGCCCTGCAGAGCGAAGTTCTTCTCGCCAGACTTCCCTGAGGCCTGAGGTCCTCACCCCTGTTCCCGGCTGAGCAGGTGGGGAAAGGGTATGTGGACCCCTAATCTGTCATCTGTGTTGGGTGTGTTAGGTAGCTTTCTGTTGCTGGGATGAAATATGTGAGATTCCCAGCTTTTAGGAAGGAAGATTGATTTTCGCTCACAGTTTCAAAGGTTTTTGTCTGTGGCCCCATCACTTTGGGCCTGTGGTGGGCAGTTGGTCACAGAGCAAAGCTACCTGCCTCATAGTGCCCAGGAAGCAAAGAGGGGAGGGGGAGAGAGAGAGGCCAGTGACCTACTGTCAACCAGGTCTCACCTACTGAAGTCTCCATCACCCCTCGACAGCATCACCAGCTGGGTACCAAGCCTTCAGCACATGAAGTTCTGGGGGACATTAAGATCCAAACCGTGACGTTGCTCTTTTGAAAGAACTTCCAAGAGGATGTTTCCTGCCTTGACCAGAAGATACCTGACTACCCAACTGGTTTTCTTTCCTGGTTAAATCACCATGGAAACAGGAGCTTCACGACAAGCAGGGTATCTGTGCCCATGAGTCTCCCAACACCTAGGATTGTCTTACACACTGATTTCCTGACACTCCTGCTTGCCCCTGTTTTGCTGCAAAAGTAGCTATTGGTGGGGGAAAAGGTTAACCCTGGCTATTGTAAGAAATGGTGCTGGAGCAATAGCCACAATCAACTCTTCCAAAGGCTTGAAGCCCTGGCCCTCGGGCATCCTGTGGGGTGAGCCAGGCAGAAGCAGCATCTCATTCCAGGCAGGAGGGTCACTGCTGTCGTAGGGTTTTCTTGGGTCCCTGGCTGAGACCTAGCACACCATTTCCATGGGAGTTGCAGTAACTTATCATGTTTGCTTTGCGTGTGTGTGGCTAAAGCCACTGTGGTCTGGGCCACTCCACAGCCACACCAGAGCAGGCCACCTTGCTGAGAGCCTGCATCTGCCCCCCCCCCCAGGATCTGGTAGGGTCTTCATCAAGGTTAAGGATAGTTTCTGGCCTTCAGAAAATAAGCAGCTGGGCCAGTGGGGGAGCACTGGCTCCAGGCCAGTGTGCATTTGGGTTCTCATGATGTTGATGACATACATCTACCACTGGGTCATGGCATGGGGCAGCCACTTGCCTAGCCGTGACCTTCTTAGGCCTTTGTCCTGCCTTCCCATGATGCAACAGCTAAGCCTGGCCTGAAGTTTGTGCCAGTGGGTCAGTCCTGGTGGGTAAGTGCTCATTGCCGCCCTGTGGTCCATATTTTGACCATCACTACCATCAAGGGGACTGACAGCTGTCACCTTCCACAGAGACTGCCACCTCCCAATGCCCTGTGACCGAGCCCAGGGAGGGTCTCCAGCCTCAGAAGGTCGCACAGCATCACAGAACCCTTGCCACTCAGGAAGTCTGGCAGCAATTCCATTTCATGCAAGATGCATGGCCTGGGGTGGGAATTGGAGACTGAGCAAGTGGGAGGCCCCAGCTGCCTCGGTTTTACTTTTAACCATCCCAGCTCACATTTTGGTGAGCTGTGTGCCTACCACTGGTACTGGGCTGTTTTCTGTCTGTTTGTTTGTTTATCTCTTTGCTTTTAATACCAAAGCTTCCCTAGGTGCCTGGGGGTGTTTTCCAATGGGTGAACCAGTGCCATGGGCTTCTTTACCCAGGTAAAGTCTCAGTAAGGTTCCTGCTTTAAAGAGAAGCCTCCCAACTTTGGAACAAATGGAACTGGGGCCGTCCCATGGGGAAGCTGAGCCCCAGCAGGGACAAGCTGGTGTCAGACAGAAGTTCAGCAGTCTGGGCTCAGGCAGTACTGGGGGAAGACACGGCTACTGAGGTTGAGTTCTTCAGGGAGTGTGGTTGGTTGGAAGGTCCAGGAGCCCCTTTGCCATGGGCAGCGTATTGTACAAACATTCTTCAGCCATCAGCATGGCAGGGCCTACAGGCACTGCCACATATCATGAGGGGAGACTTCTGGCTGATGCCATTTGGGAGCACATATGTGCTACAGGATACCAGGCATGCAGATTCACATCAGCAACTCATGCGTGAGGTCTGTGACTGGCCACATTTTGTGGATAAGGAAATTATGGCACAGAGAGGTTAAGTAATTTGCTCAAGATCACACAGCTGGTTGGATGGCCAGGGCCAGCATGCAGGCTTTGCTATACAGGTTGGAGGTTAAAACACTGGTTTTGAGGGCCTGCATGATGACACAGCGGGCAAAGTGGGGCACATGCTTCATCCAGCCTCTTATCACTCTAAGGCCAAGATGTCCAAAGCTAGGGGTCCAGGCTGAGTATCTCCCCCTCCTGTGTGCCAGACAGTTGCTCAGAACAAGTCTGCTTGTGTCACACCAGGATCTGTGGCCCTGAAGTCTTCTGATGCCATGAGACTTAAACCACCAGAAGCCTGCCTACTTCCCCATGAGTGAGCTGCTGCTCCCTCGGACTCCCTGCTCTGGTGACAACTTGGAAGAAAACTAGGCAGGGCAGAGGGGCCCTGGGCAGCTGCTCATCTTTGACCTCGAGTTGCCAGGGAGGATCCAAAGGAGAGATCCTGGGGTGCAGAAGAGGTCAGTACACCTGCTCTCAGCCCCATGCTACAGATTAGGAGACTAAGCCCAGAGTGAGACCTAGCTTATCCAGCGTCCTGCAGCTGATCAAGGCAGGGTCTCCAGCCAGGCTGGCCCCTGCACCAGGCTGAGTCATAAGCACTGTTCATCAACTGAGCAGCTCTGCACCCCAAGGGCCCAGCCTCTGTCTGCAGAACAACACAGGACAGTGAGCAGTGGAGGCCCCTCCAGTGGCTTTGCCAGTCTGGCACTCTCAGGGCAAAGTTCAGGGCAGCTTTGGCGCCCCTTTCTGTGCACTGTCCCAGGCAGAAGCCTCATAGCCCATTCACAGGTGCTGCAAGGTGCCCAGGCCTGGGAGCCATCAGCACGGAACCGAGGATCTGATTTAGCTAGGGATGGTTGCTTGGGTGTTTTTGTATTTTGTTTTCTGTGAGGTTTTTTGGTTGTTCTTTTGCCTGTGGATGTAGAACCAAAGACTGTGCTTAAAAGAGGGAGGATTTGACCAGCTTTGAAGACACACCTGTGATCCCAGACTCTGGGAGACTAAGACAAGAAGATCAAAAGTTCAAGCTCAGCCAGAGGCAACTTAGTGACTTTGTGAGAACTTTCTTCAAAACAAAAAATTTTTAGAAAGGGCCAGGGATGTAGCTGAGTGCAAAGGCCCTAGATTCAATCTCCAGAACCACACACACAAAAAACAACCACAAAACAATTTGGACAAACCACCAAGCGACCTGTTTCACTCACAAGGGACTGAACTCCTGGTTGGGCCTATCTTCCTCTGACCTGGGCTGGGCTCACACAGCAGGGCTGCACCGGTAGCTCCACTTCCCTTGGATCCAGAGTAGCTCAGGCCCTCCAGCAACCCAGGCCTGCCCAGCCTCTGCCTTCTGACACGTGGGCCAGAGTCCTTCACCGCCCACCCTCCTTCCTTTGAACAGAGGCCAGCTCTAGGTATCACCCAGGCTTCAGGTTACTATTGGCCTCCCCACTAAGCAGCATTCACCCTGGGCACAGCCAGGACTTCATGGGTCTGGGGACCATTCCACTGCATGACACCCAAGATGTGGAAACTGCAAAAGAAATGTCTTTATTCTATTAACATTCTCAATATTTACAAAGAACAAAAAGAACAACAACTGAAATTGGCTTAAACAGTGGGTGTGTAAGTGGCATTTGGGTGGCTGGTGGGCTGAGCCAGGTCCCACTGCCGGTGGTCTGCACAGGGTCAGGGAAGGATCTGGTGGGGTCTGGCTGGGCTGGGGAGAGGCCAGCCCTGTCCAGCCCCACAGTTGCAGGGTCTGAGCCAGTGACTGCCTGAGAAACCCCTGCCCCAAGACTGTCCTCAGAATGCACAAAGGGAAGGGGCCTTTGGAATGCCCAGGCCACTCCTCTGCCCAGCCCCTTCCTTCCAGAGACAGCTCCTTGGGTCCCTGATGTCCCGCAGGCCGCAGGAGGTGGCCCAGACCCTGGCAGCCTAGCTAGAGGTAGCCGAAGATGTTGAAAATGGGTGGGGGCATGGCTGGCTTGGTGGGGATAGGCTTCAGAACCACGGGTCTGTACACCTTCTGCCCTGGGCCATCCACGCGCTTGCAGAAGTGGGCCTGCTCTGGGGGCAAAGCTGGGCTTTTCCTCCACAGGCCAAGGCTGGGCATGGGGCTCGGAGGCAGGGCCCCTGGAGGGCCAGGGTAGATAGGCTGTCGATGGTACTGGAAGGGGCAGCAGCTCCAAGCATCAACACAGCCGACCAGGGAGACCCCGGGCATCTTGAGTGGCTCCTTGTCAGCCAGTGCCCTTGGGGACATGGGCCCTGGGGCAGCCTCAGGCACCATGGACTCCAAGCCCTTGCAATTTTTCTTACTCTCATAGGGAGATCGCTCCCTAGGGCCCAGTCCCCCCTCCAGCCCCATGGCGTAGCTGTGGGTGGGCCTCGGCTCTTCCCAGAAGGAAGCAGGCAGCTGTCTTTTCCGCATGGGCACCTGGCCAGGCTTGGCAGCTCCTGGGCCCTGGAGGTTCTGCTCCTTGGAAAGACATTCCTCCCCAAAGGGACTCCCCAAAGCCTTCTCCTTGCAGCCCCCACCCCCACCAGGGCTGGAATCGGGGCCGGGATGGAGGGCCAGCCGCCCGGGCCGGTCCTGGGGTCCCCTTCTCAGGTGAGGCTCAGCTGCCCTGCCAGGAAGGCCCCTTGGGAGCCGGGAGTACTTCTGCGAGAAGCGTTTGAGCTGCTTCTGCAGGTACTTGCGGTGGTCCACAGAGCGGCGGCAGGGTGCGGACTTGTCCAGGGCGGCCTTGATGTCGCTGGACGCCAGGTTGACGAAATTCAGCAGCATCTTCACATCAGTGTCGGATGCCATCACCAGGGGGCCACTGCATGGGGCTTTCCATGAAGAGGGTGCCTTCTGCAAGGGGCTGGCAGCTCTGAGGAGGGTGCAGGGCTGACCTGGGGGACAAGGCAGGCCATTGGAGTCTCTCTGAGCAGCCACACCCAGCCCCCCACCCCGAAGGCCACCAACCTGGATGCAGTGTCCCCACCCCACAGCCCTCAGCCCGGAAGGGAGCCCTGGGCGACGGGACACCTGGGCACAGCAGAAGTGTCCCTGAGCACCTGGGATGCCGTCGGAGCTAACAGCCTCATCAAGCCTTCTGGGGTGCTGCCCTTTTCTTGTCGCTGAGGCTTAGGGAGGGCAAGCAAGTTGACCCAAGGCGACCCAGCTACAAGTGGCATGGCTGGGCCGCGCTCCCAGCCTGCGGTGTCTCCCACAGGCCAGCTGTGCTCGCTACTGCCAAGCCGCACAACTCGCCAGCAGGCTTTTTTCTTTGCTGAGAAGAGGCGACTGCTCCACTTTACGGAAGGCCAAGCCCCTTCTTCCCTGGCGGTGGCCTCCCCCTCCCACCACCCCGCCCCCCTTCTCAGTCCCACGCTCCACCTCCAGCTCTCACGCAGGACCGGGCAGGACCCCTGTCTAGCACTTAATCGAGACCTGCCTCGCGGCTGCTCTCAGGCTGTGGGCAACCGGGACTCCCTGGTAGAAGCATCTGCAGCAATTTCATGCCTGCCGAGCCACCACCCACGGCACTGCGCTCCTCCCCCAGACCCCAGCCTGCCCTTGCCCCCACCCAGGCGGCCAGCAGCCGGGCCTCCACACTGACCGAAGGTGCGGGCCGGGCCCGCCGACAGACGTGGCCGGCAGGTTCCCCACCGCAAACCTGGGCAGGCCCGCCCGACCGAGCTCCGCGCCGCCGCTGAGGGAGCGGCGGTGCAGCCCTCGAGTGGGCTGAATGGAGGACAACTCCCGGGGCTGGGGGGCCCTCAGGCCAATCAGGAGCGCCTCTCCAGATACAAAGCATCCCAATCAGGCTGCGGCGCCCCGTTCCCACATTCTTTGCCCTCACAAATTGTCACCATGGGGACCATCACAAAAAAGACAGCTCCCAAATGCAATCATTTCCCGGTAAATTTCTACCCTTCAGCCCCACTCTCCTGGGCCTCCATGCCCCTCCTCCCCTTGACCTCGGTTCTCTGGTTTCTCGAGGGGATGGTGTGTGTGTGTGTGTGTGTGTGTGTGTGTGTGTGTGTGTGTGCACTGTGCGTGAGTGTAAAATGTCCGGGACTGGGACAGAGGAGGAGCTGGGCCCAGTGGAGATGGGGTTGCACACCTCCCCTGAAAGACTCCGGGCCTGCAGCTGCCATGCTCCAGTGCAGACAGACAATTGGACGGGGTAAGCCAGGGCGGGCTGCTTTCCCTGCTGTCCTTGAGCGTTGAGTGGCTCTCTCTGTCTCTGGCTTTTCTCTCTCTCCCTCTGTCCACCACTCTTGCTCCAGGATCCCCCAGGGACGGGGCTCTGGAGGGCCTGAGAGATCGGGAGGTACACTGATGTGGCGAAAGGTAGCCGAGAAGGACTCGCTAACAGGGTGCTGGCATATCCATGGGAAGGGAGCTGGAGCTCTCAGGAATCTTGTCTTTATGTTTGCTTCCTCAATTGAGCTGCACAAAGCCTGAATTGCCCATTCAGCGTGGCCGGACAAAAGGTTGGCGTTGCACGGCCCCTTGCATTTGTAATCAAACAGTTAGGGACTTAAATCGAGTCGTCATGATGGAGAAAGAGGTGGACAAAGCCCATAGAATTGCCATCAGCAAACATTTTCCTGTGTCATATTAGCCAGTCTCCATGGCTCCCCCTGGCCTGGGGACAATGGCACAAGTTTGCACACTTGGCTACTGTCACCGTGCCAACGCCGGCGTGGCTGCAGGCAGGGCCACTGGCTCAGAGCAAGCAAGGGAGCCCAGAGCCAGCGCTGACCCTGCCCACCACTGGCTGGAGAGAAGGTGAGGCCTGCAACGGTGAGGGAAATGCTAAGGGGTGAGGCCTTGGTTCCAGCTGGCAAGGCAGGCCCTCTCATGTCCCTTGGCGTTTGCCTTGACTCTCCCTCCTCCTGTCCCTCCTTTCCCCCTTTATTCTGCTGCCTTCTCCTGTGCCCTTCGGTCAGCCATGGGGCTGGTGTTCTAGATCCCACCCTCACTTCTGCAACACGACCTAAGCACCAAGGGCTCCTCTCAGCGGTCCCCTCCCCAGACTGGGGCCATTGGCCGTGACACGGCTGCTGTGGGCATGAGGCACTCACCCCCAGTGGCCCTGACCGCAGCATCCTTGGCAAGGGTGAGAGCCGAGCCCCAGAAATCGGGGGGCCAAGTGTTTCTGCTACGCAGCTCAGCCCAACCTGACTGGGACAGGCAGGCAACACTGCTCTGAGCCACTGAGCACACTGTGCTGGAGAGATCGCTGTCCTGATGTCCTGGTCACCAGGTTAGGCTCCCCTCACAGCTCCTGCTGACCAAGGCATGAGGTCAGTGTGCACAGCTTGGGGTTCACACACCCCATAACCTGGCACCCGCTTCTCAGCTGCCTGCTCCATCTAGCTCTGCTGGGAACTGGCTTCGCTGGGCTTGGCCATGCCCCCCCCCCCGCCCCCAGCCTTCTGCTCTCTGCCTGGGCCGTGCGACTTCCTCTCTCCGGACACCTTTCTTCTGAGAGCATTGAGACATTCTCCAGCCACACTGCCAGACCTGCTTCCTGCCGGATCCTGTACCTGCAGTTCACTCAGCCCTTCTAGCCTTGCCTTCTCGGGGTGCCATCTCCTCGCCTCTCAGCCAATGGCAGTCCTCACCCTGTTCGGGTCTCCCTGGGGGTCAAGTTTGGTCTTAGGAAGTCTTTCCATAGCTCTGTTCTTCCACCAAGCACTTTTTGAGGAAAGAAGAGAAGTGAGAAAGGGAAGAGAAAATGGAATGAAGAAAACAGAGCTGCTGGGGACCTACAATGTACCACGAGCCACATTCAGTGCCCTCCCATCAAAGGGCTCACCTGACCTAGGACAGGTGCCTTTGTGGCCATTTACTTTCCCAGGGCCTGACAACTCATAGCAGGCAGAACTGAACTTAAGGCAGCTCTGTATGCAAAGTCCACATAGGGCTCACCACACATAAGGCTTCCTCAAGGTCCTCCAGGGTGCTAGGCACTGACCAAGGGCATTGGCCCTGAGGGCCTCATGGGCCAGGTTTTCTGTCCAAGTCCTGGGTGACTCTCAGCTTCTGGCCCGGCAGCCCGGCCTTGGAGTCTTCACAGATGAGCTCCCCTGAAATTTCTGATAGGCCACACAGACAGGGGGACAGGCAGGGGAGGAATCATTGTGCCCCCTGCAGAATCCCTTCACACCCTCCTCTCATGCTGGTCCTGGGTCTGGGCAGACAGGAAGTCATTTCCCCTACTTCCAGTGGGTGACACACCCAGTGACAAATGTCAAACCTCTTGACTTCTGGGCCCAACTCAGCCAACACTGTGCCCTTGGGCTTTGTCAAGACCCAGCACAAACATCTCCAGGAAGCCTCTTGCCAACTCCCAGTAATGCTCATGACACCCTCTCCCAACCCTGTGTCCACAGAGTCAGAGATGAAGTCTAATCTCCTCCTTAGCTAAGCACAGAAGGCCCTTTGTAATCTGACCCCCCACCAGAGCCTGGCACAGAGCAACTTCTTACTAAATGTTTCATGCATTAAGTACTTTACTCATTCCACTGAATAGCATTTATCCAGTGAACTGAAAACAGCTGCTCCCTGTACTGTTCTTTTATTGTTTTCCCAGGTCCACGAAGGTGAACCCCAGGGAAGCACAGAGCTGGGCTGTAGGTCGCTCTGTGACTCCAGGGACTCGAATGCCCTTAGCCAGTGAACAGTGCTCATGGTTGCTGAAGCTCTGCTCAATGATGGATTCTCCACACTTCTTCAGGGCTGTGGCTCTCATAAAAGCCAGGAGCACATTCCCCGATGGCATCCCTACTTCAGTTCTGGAGAGCTCTGCAAAAGTCAGCAAGCTGAGCTGACTCAAGCCAAAGAACTCAGTGAGCTGGGGCGGGCACCTCTCCCTGCCTGACCAGGGTCACTGCAGAGGTCTCTGACTTCTGGCTCCAGGCTCCTCTGACACCAGACTGTGGTAGTGGGAGGTTCCGTTTGGTCCAAGGACCAAGGACAGAGACCCTGCAGACCTTCCTGGGTGTCACAATTATCCTCTTTTTTTTTTTTTTTTTTTGGTACCAGAAATAGAACTCGGGACCTTGTGCTTGTGAGACAGATGCCAGAACCACTGAGCTAAATCCCCGGCGCATATTGTGCTCTTAATAAAGATTTGAACAGAGGTGCAACTCTGCTAGGAAATTTGCCTGTGGTCCCACAGTTACAAGATGACAGAGCCAGGACCGGATGCTGACAGCGAGATCCAAGCCCTCAGTCCTGACCATCACGAGGTGCTGCTCTCTAACAACTGTCAGCCAGTGCCTTGCCCGCCTTCCTCCCTGGCTGTGCTATGCCAGTGCCACAGGCACACCCTCCCATCTCAGCCAGCCCATCTCAGGGAGCACATGCAGGCTGCATGGGGACTCAGTGAGCTGGCAGTGCCTCTAAGGGACATGGGACACAGACATGACAAGATGACTTAAGTAAACCCACTTACACGGCAGCAGTTCGGGTCCAAGCCCAGCCTTTGGCATGCTGTCAGCCAGAATAAGAACCCATGCTGGGATGGGAGGTATCCGGGGAAAGTGAGCCCCTGTGGCCACTGGAACCAAACCTCCCGACCAAGGCTGATGACCCTCATGGCTATGCCCACAAGCAGCCAGAGACCTCGTGAGGCCCTACACAGGTCACAGCCTGGTAGAGCCTACACCCATGGTTGCAGCCCAATGGTAGGGAGAGAAGCAACTGCTTATATGAAAGAGATTGCAGCCATATTGTTGTGTCACTGAGCAGAAATCTGGCTTTGGTGAAAAAATCATTCACCTGGGCCCCTGCCAGGGTGTGTGATCTTAGGTCAGTCACTCACACACTCTGGGCCTCAGTTTCCTGCTGGATGTCACTAATAGCATGCATGAAGATTTATGTAGGGCAGGTGTATCACAAGTCACTTTAACTTACAAAGGTCCCAGACTCGGAAATGATTTGATTTCCCCTAATATAACTTAGGGCAGATTCAACATCATAAAATCAGGTAACCCTATTTGTAGTCCCTGTATATGAGAAGAGGTGCCAGGGCTGGGGTGTCTGAGGGTACAAGCCTCTGGGACAGAGGACAGACTGACAACTTCATCCATCTGTGAGGCTCAGGAGAGATGAGCTACTGGGACTCTCCTGTGGAGAAAATGCTGAGAGCATAGCTCCTAGTCTTGTTCCAGATCTTGGGAGAGGCACTGGGCCCTTCACTGGTGAGATTCGAGCCGTTGGGTTTTACACACACTCTTTATCATGTTGGGGATGCTCCTCTCTGTCTCTGTCGCTAATTTGCTACAAGTTTCTGACTTTGATGGAGATTGAATGCTGTCAGTTGACTGTTCTGCACCAATTGATGTGATCACGTGGTTTTTCTTATTTAGACTCTTTAAACTTTGTGTGCCCACAAAATTGCACGATGTGTAGCATCATACAATTTACTGCTTTAGCCATTGCCAAGTGTGTAGCTTGGCAGCATTAAGAGCATTCATACTGCTGTGCAGTCACTGTCCTTCTCCAAGACTTGGTCACGAGCACACAGTGAAACTCTGTCCATGGTAGACAATGACTCCATTTTCCCCTTTCCCACTGGCCCATTTTGGTCATCATTCTACTATTTGTCTACTCCAGGTAGCTCATGTAGGTGGAACACACAAGATTTGGCCTTTTATGTCTGATTTCTTTTACGTAGTATCATTATCTTCAAGGTTCCTCCATGTTGTGGCATATGAGAGAAATTCCTGCCTTTGCAAGGCTGAATAACATCCCTTGGTTTGTGTATACCACATTGTGTCCATCCATCTGCCGATGGTCACTGGTGCTGCTTCTTTCTGTAATCCTGTTGATATGATGGATTCCACTGATTGCTTTTCAAAAATTGAACCAACCTTGGATTCCCATTATAAATTCCCCTTGGTGTATGAATTCTTATTATAGATCTCTGACTTCTATTTGCTAATATTTTGTTGATTCTTATTGTGTTTCCTTATGTTTGTGAGTGGTATTGGTTTGATGCTTTCTTTTTGTGTTATTCTTGTTTAGCTCTGGAATCAGGGTCACATTGGCTTCACATTGGAAGTTCTCCCTTCTCTTGTTTTTTTGAAGAGATCAGGCAGAATTGTTTTTTCAATCTTCCTTAAATGTTTAGTAGAATTCTCCAATAAAATCAGTTGGGGCTAGAGATTTTTCAGAAGGTTGTAAACTACAAATTCAACTTTTAAAAATAGTTATTAGATTGATAAGATTGTTTATTTCATTTTAAACTCCTTCAAGGAATTGATCCATTTCCCCTAAATTGTTGAATTTATGTTTACAAAGTTGTTCATGGCTTTCCCTTCTTTTTCTAGTCTGCCAGATCTGTAGTGATTGATGTCACATTTCATTTCTGACTTGCTAATTTGTATTTTCTCTTTTTTATCAGTCTTTCTAGGAAGCTATTATTTCAAAGAATCTTTTTCATTGATTTTTTTCTATCATTTTTCTATTTTTTATTTCATTGATTTCTACTTTTATCTTTGTTATTTCCTTGGGTTTATTTTGCCTTTTTTGTTTTACTTCTTGATGTAGGGGCTTCAGTTATTGAGAACTTTGTTTTTTTTTAACATAGGCATTTTAGGGCTGTAAAATTTCCTCTTGGCACTGGGTTAACTGCATCTCAAAAATTTTGCATGTTGTGCTTCCATTTTCTTTCCTGGAGATATCCTCTTTGGCACATGAGTTATTTAGAAGCATGTTGCCCTAATTTCTAAGAGTTAGACTTTTCAAGCTTTCTGCTATTGTTTGTCTAGCTTGATTGCACGATGATCAGAGAATTTATAGTCTTTTACATTTGTTGAGGTTTATTTTTTCACCCAGAATATGGTCTATTTGGGCCCATGTTTCTTGGGCACTTGAAAGGAATGGGTATTCGGTTGCTGGCTTAGTAGTGTTCCTTAGATGTCACTTACAGCCTGTTGGTTCATGGCATCGTTCAGCAATTCTGTGTCCTTTTGATTTTCTGTCTTTTAGCTCTCTCATTGCTAGAAAAGTGAGTTGAAGTCCCCAGTTTCAATTGTGGATTTGTCTCTTTCTCCTATCAGTTCCATCTACTTTTGCTTCTGCTCCATGTCCTCTGTTCATGGACCTAGGAGTGGGGAGGCTGGAGCATGTTATGAAAACGGGGCAAGTGAAGCCTCCCAGAATGACAAGGGAATGGGAAGAGCCCTGGCTCTGGGCACTGCTTGGGTGGGAAATGACTGTCCCTTTCTACCCCTGAGACTGTGTTGGTCACCTTATCTCACTGAGCCTCAGTGAGATGGGGATGAGAAGAGCCATGTAGGACTTTTGTGAGGAGTTAGTTATGTTCCATGATTTGGTTCTGTTCCAAATCATGTAGTGTGTGCAGGGCATACTTTGGGGGGCTGGGAATAGTGACGTGAAGAAGACACCTGTGCTAGCAGCCCACTAAATAGTCTTCCAGCCTCTTAAGAAGAACTGGATCGCGTTCCCAAACTCCGTCTGCATCAAGCCCTTCACAATGAGGTGGGCGTTTCTCTGATCCCTGCTCTACAGGCGAGGATACTGAGGCACGGACTAAATGACTTCCCCAAGGAGTGAAGCTGGCATCCAACCCATATCGATCATGATTGTTTTGTGATTTATCCTCAGAGCCAAGGAGCTCTTGGTCTGATTCCTCACCTTGACCGTGCAGCGAGCTGTGGTTCACTGGCAGGGTTGATATGAGGATTAAGAGATCAGTGGTTAAAAGAAACAAACACAGCTCCTGGTGCAATTCAGAGCCTTCCCTCACCCTCACTTCTCTGCTAGGATGGATCTAAAGGCTGCCCATTGAAACCATGCTGGGTATGTCTCCTCCCCATGAAGAGGGGCTGGTGTGACAGAAAAGACATGGCAGTTATGTCTTTGTGCCCCCCAACTGACATTCCTGCCACTGCCCTGCACCTCTCCTCCAACCCACCACAAGCCCATCACCTCAACTGTACCCTCCCGTGCTGCTCTGACGCGGCTCTTCACTCCACCAGGGTGCTGGCCAGGAATGAAAGTCCGTTTAATCTCAACTGCCAACTCCAGTTTGATTGGCAGTGGCCGGCAGGTGCCTTATGGAAAGAGTCCAAGCCCCTCCCCCAGCTCAGTGTTCCAAATGCTCTGATCAGCTAGTGATGTCTACCCCGAGTGGATGCAGATGTACTCAGTGTCCTGAATCCAGTGTAAGATCACGGGATACCAAGCCTGGTGTTCTCCTACTTTCACCCCTGAGATTTTAATCAGAGAAACAGAACCTCAGAGAAGGGAAGTGGCTTATCCAGGCTCATATTCCTTAATGTGGCTTGGTGCAAAGCCCTGGGTTCGATACCCAGTACAGGAAAAGTGGTGAAAGGGACTCCTTCTGTAAAATGGTTCTAATTCTGGTCATTCTGCTGGGTTTGCTGGGATCATTGTGACAAAGATGGGTCCCAAGGATGATCTAGGTCTGGCCAGGCTGTAAGACTGTCTAAGGGGTAGGGGACAGAACAAGGAGCCCCAAATAGTCTGCTGAAGGCCCTGACCACAACCAGTCCCAAGGACAAAGTCATTGTGTCCTTCAAGGGGCTGGCGGTGACCACGCTAACCAAATGACAAGTACCGGTCCAGGATGATGGAGACCCACCCAGCGCCACCAGGTCCTTCTCCAAAGGCGGAAAGAGGGAAGGTGGGGACTGCTTTGGCTGGGTTGGGATAGAGTAGAGGGGTCCTAGGAGGCAGGGTGTGTAGGGAAAGGAGGAGGGGAGGAAGCCCCTGATCATCCCCCTCTGGCCACATCTTTCTGCTTTCTGCTGCTAAAACACTAGGTACACTCTGCCCCAGGGCCTTTGTACTTACTATTCCCTCTTCCTGGCATTCTTTCCCCCAAGGTCAGTGGTCAGCAAACCACAGACTGCCACTTGTTTGTGTAAATAAAGTTTTATTAACTACAGAAATACCTGTCCATTGACTCAAATTCTTGCTCAATGCTCTACCCTGGGGCCTAGAACAAGGCCTCCCCACACATAGTAGGTGCTCAGTAAAGAAATTCCCAATGAATGAATGAATATTTCCTACATTCCTGGGGGTTGGCCCTGCCTACCCCTCTGGCCTCTGCCTCAGTTTCTTTTGTCATGGAACTGAGTCCCTGGCAGATTTCTTGCCAAGTCTCTTCTGCACCACCTCTATTTTTTTTTTTTTACCGTCTCCATTTTATGAGGTTCTCATTTGAAATATATTTTTTAAAAAGCACATTCTACATCAGGGGTGCAGAAACAGTGGTGTTCTGAATGCCTGGGTTTAACAGAACAACACTTTCATCCCACCAAGCTCACTGCTGTGTGAGGGGGCCATTCATGAGGGAAATACAGGGTTTCTTTTCGGTAGTAATTAATAAAATTCAATTAATGTTAATTCCTTAACATGCCATAGAATATTAAGTTAATGAATTTAAAAATAAGTCAAATTAATGTTACCTTAAATATGAACTGACAGAGACCAGGAAGACAGCAGTGAAGGTTGGCGAATCACTCTGTTCCTTTCTTTCTGTCGTTTCTGTCAAATGGTGTCACTTAAAGGGACTGTCCAAAGTGAGGTCCAGAACAAAGAGCTGAAACCCTTTTTGTTCTATTCAGGCCCTGGACAGACTGGACAATGCTCAGCACGCTGGGGTGGCCATCTGCTCACTGGGCCACCGAAGCCAGTGTAGTGCTGCTCTGCCCTGGGGACCCCCTGCCCCAGACACCCCGGACAGAATGTTTCCCCTGCTCCTGGGCATCCCTCGGTCCAGCTGAGTTGACTTATAATATTAACCCCTCCACCTGGCTGCACTCAGCCCTGCTTCAAGGATGGAAAAGCTAAGGTACAGATTGGTGAAGTGACTCATTCAAGGTCTCAAAGCTTGCACATGGTGGAGCCAGGAGAGCGCCCCCTCCTGGACATCTTTTTTCAGTACTCAGGCTTGACCCCAAGGCCTCCTCACTGAGCTACATACGTCTTCAGCCCTTTTTATTATTTTTTTTGAATTTTAAAACAGGTTCTCACCAAGTTGACCAGGTTGACCTCAAGTTTGCAGTCTTTCTGCCTTAGCTGCCAAGAGTGCAGGTGTACAGCACCTTGCCCTGCTCCTGTACATGACTTTAATTCCATGCAGAATTCTTCTGTGCTTTTGGGCTATTCAGTGTACTCAGTCACCAAGACCCATCCCTCTGTCCCTTTTGGAAGAGCCACGGGCTCTGTGCTCACAGGCACTGGAGGCCTCGCAGCTGGCCCATGTCGGTGCCAGGATTTGAACCAAGGTCCCTTGCCATCCAAGCTCCAGGCCTGTCTGAGGGGGTGCAGGGGCCTGGGAGCAGTGGGGGAGGATCCCCGTGACATCTGGAAGGCAACTCATGGGGTCTCATGTGGGCACAGAGGAGAGTCCTTGCAGGTGTCAGGGATCCTGGAAGAGTGGCCCTGCCCTGTCCCCTCCAAGGTGATGGTGACCATGGAGGAGACCAGAGCCCCAGCAGGACTGCCCATGGTGACAATGGCATCCCACTCCCAGGAGGCTTTCACCTACAGCTATGATGATGGCGGCTATTTCTTAATCCTGGTCCCTGCTGGAGCTGACCCATCCTGCATCTACCCTGTTTCCTCCAAGCCCCTGCTAGTCTGGTCAGTGGCTCCCTGCTGGCTGCCCGTGGACAGAGCTTGGGCTCCACTCTGGACCTGCCCTCCAGAGTTATCCAAGCATTTCCAGGGGCCTTCCAGGGGCAATGTCTCACCTCTGTTGCTTGTGGGAAAATGGAAGAAAGGGCTCAGCCTGGGGAAGGAGATGATGGGGGCAGCCCGTGGGGTCTGAGCACCCTACACAAGTTCCAATCATCTTGGCAGACTCTTCCAGGCCCCAGCGGGTGGGTGGCATGCCTGCCTCCACTGGGCGAGCTTGCTGTCTTCAGAAGCTATCAAGCAGGATCTAGGTTGACACTTGGAGGGAAGACAGTGATGTCGACTCAAGCACTGACATATGCACTGGGGAAGTCAGCTGAGGTGATCTCTTACCTCAGATCTTGGGATGCTGTGGGTGGCCCAGAACTAGGAGACTTCCCCACAGGGACACTCTTGGAGGACGCTGAGGACCTGGCGGTACAAACAGTGCAAATAGAAAGCAGACTCAGTCTCTGCAGCTGTCAGCCCAGAAAATCAGACTGCCACTGCTGCTGAAGGGGCCCCAAGCAGGCAGGACTTGGTCAGTCACCGCCAGCCTCCTGATGGTCTGCTCCCACATCCACCTCAGCACCAGCCAGAAACCACCACCTTCCCAACCTGTACAGAAGATCCCCTACTCCTACTCTATCTCCATCAGCTTTCCCATGCCAGCAGTGCCCAGCCTCGGGGCATGCCAGCTTCAACCTTCTTCCTTCCGTACTTACTTCCCTCCTCCTGCCCACTCTGCCAAGTGCAAGTGATGGCGCCAACCCACTTGCTAGATCACACTCCGATGGGTGAGCTTTGTCCATCTCATTTGAGGGGACTTGATTTATGTTCACAATGCAGAGGCCCAGAAATAAACAGGGAATTGTCCTAGGTCACATCATAGATCAGGGATAAAACTTGTTAATTCCCTTTTCTCCCCAGTACTAGAGTTTAAACCCAGGCCCCTATGTGAGCTACATTTGCGCCCCCCCCCCTCTTTTTTGGTACCAGGGATTGAACTCGGGTCCTTGTACTTGCAAGGCAGGCGGCTTAACCACTGAGCTAAATCCTCTGCCCACTACAGCCCTTTTTTTAAAAATTATTTTTTCTTTTGAGATAGGTCTCCAAGTTCGATCCCTGGTACCAAAAAAAAAAGAGAGAGAGAGAGAGATAGGTCTCACTAAATCACTGTGTTGCCCAGCCTGGGCTTGAACTTGCAATTCTTCTGCCTTTGTTTCAAAGAGTGCTGAGGATACAGGGGTCCACCACTACATCTGTCTTAGTTACTTTCTCATTGCTGGGACAAAATACCCAATGCCTACACATTAAAGGAAGAAAGGTTTATTTTAGCTTACAGTTTGTAGACATTCAGTCCATAGCCTGCTGGCTCTAAGGCAGGGCAGCATGGCAGAGGAGAAACAGTCCATGGCATGACAGGCAGGGAGCAGTAGCCTTCCTTCTGCTTCCCCTTTTTATTCTATCCAAGCTACAAGTCTATTGGTCAGCGTCAGGCACACCCAGGGTGGGTCTTCCCTCTTCGGCAAGTCCATCATCCACAACCAGAAATATGCTAATCCAGTATTACATCCCCATGATCCAGAAATCACACACCCATGATTGAGTCACTCCCAAAAGCCCCACCTAGAAGTGCATGAGGTGTAGGGAGACATCTAGATATAAGCCACAGCAGCACCTAACTCATTCTTTGCTGCCTCTATACCACTTCCTTCCCTGGCTCCTTCTACCATTCTAGGTAGAAGTGACCACTTCTGCCTCCCACCTCCCCATATCCCACATGCTACTCTCTCAGCCCAGGAGGATTCCACACACATGCTGATGAGAAAGTAGATGCAAAATTCTTTGAAACTCCTCACTTCAAGGTGTGACCCTCATTCCCACCGCCTTTTTCTGGATTTAGTGACTCATTTCTAAGGAATTTCTAGTGATTAGAAGGAAAAGTGACTGTGTGACTTCAGAGACAGTTCAAGAGAGGCAGGCAGCTTCCTTACTTCCTTAGATCACCGGCTCTGGGGGAAGCCAGCTGTCATGTGGAGGGGACACTGGAGCATCCCTGAGGAGAGACCCCTATGGAGATGAACTGGGAAGACTGAGGCAAACAGCCAGTGAAGATGTGAGTGGGGCACGAGAGGGAGCCATTCTGGAGCCAGATCCTCCAATCCCAGGTGACACCTTAACTACAACTTCCCGAGAGAGTCGGAGCTGGAATCACCTTGCTTGGCTTCTTCCAGACTCCCAAGCCCCAGGGAGTGGGGTACATGTGAAGGGATACAGGCTTGTTGTTTCAAGCTACCAAGCAACATATAGCAACAGACAGTGATTTTGCACTTATTGGTCCACTTATCTAGGTCCCATGGTAACTGGTTAGAAGTTCAGGGTTCAGCAGTGTTTGGGGGGGGGGTGGATAGGTGGGTGGGTGAATGTATATGTGGATGGATGGATGGATAT